CACCCATACGGGGTACCGGGGGTTGGGGAAGAGGGTGGGAGGGAGAACGGGGCAGACTTTCAGATCTGCGAGAGGGAGTTCTGGAGATGCCGTGAGCGGGAACGGATCAGCGGTGCTCCTGGAGCAGAAAGGAGGCCGGAGGGCTGGAACTCACGAAGGAGAGGAACGAGGGGCAGACCGGTGAGCCCGGCGGGAAGCTCGCATTCGGCCACCGACCACAGGTAAACCTGGGGGAAGTCACCGTCCGTTCAAGCAACGGGAGGTGGGACGACGTCCAGCGCTGCGCCCGGCCCACGCGGCTTGTGGGAGCTTCGACCCATCTCCTCGCGTTTCCTCCCGCCCTACCGTTTCCGAGATGGGGAAACTGAGGCAGGGCCCTGTCCGACGGGGGCCCGCCAACGACGTGTGGCCGGCAGCACCCTCTCGCGATTCACGCAGGAGCGGACCCCGAGGCCAGACGCCGTGCGCCGGGCTCCCGCCGGGGAAGCCAAACCAGGGCGCCCAGGTCGGCCCCAGCCAGGCGCGACCCGCTGCGCGCCGGACTCGGACCTTGGCAGCGCCGCCCGGGCAGACCCGTTCTCAAGGAGACGCACCCCGCAGGCCTAGGGGCGCCGAACTCTGGCGAGGCCCCTCCTCCTCGCCTGCCCGCCGCGACGACCCGGGGATTTCATTTCCCGAGCACCCGCCGGCGTCCAACCTCCACCTGTTCCGGGACAGCGCCGCCATGACCTCTCCTCTTACCCACCTCGGCCTCCCCGTCGGCACGTCTGCGCATGCCCGCGCGCGAGCCAATGGGGTGGGGGGGGAAAACCCTGCAGCCATTCTGGGAAATGTAGTTCCAAGCCTGGCGCGCTGAGAGGCCCTGTTTGCTTGGGCTAGTAGGCCGCGGGCCGTCCTCGACACCCCTTGGAAAGTGTAGTTCAGAGCTATCTGGAGACGGGCGCGCGAAGTTCGTCACGGCGAGCTGCTAAAGGGACGCGTCCTTTTGCCGCGATGCTTCCTGGGAAGTGTAGTTCCGGGTGAGGCCGGTGGGGGGCGGGGGGGAACGGAAGGCTAGGTGTCTGAGTGTTGGGGGGAAGGGGACGGATGAGTTTGGCGCAAAGCCTGCCGGGGTATGGAGTCCCGGTGAGCTTTGTGCGCATGTGCGACGAGTGAGGGGGCTTGGGGGGCCTCGTCTGGGAGAGTGAGGTGAGCGAGGGGGGCAGGGAGGGTTAGGGGGGCGGTTGGATGCGCTTTGGGGAGAGGGGAGCTGGAGACTGGAGGACCGAGGGGTGGAGGAGCGGGGGGAGGGGAGAAGAGGGGGGCCGAGCGAAGCTGGAGGTGGGCGGGGGGGATGGGAGCGGGAACGGGAGGGGGAGGGGCCGGGGGAGGGTCGGGAAGTGGGAGGGGGCTGCGGCCCCGAGGGGTGGGGAACGCCGGCGGGAGTGGAGAAGCGGGGTCGGAGTGCAGGGGAGGGCCCCGGAGGGGGAGGGGTGGGGTGCGGCGGAGGGCCCCGGAGGGGGAGGGGCGGAGTTCGGGGCGTCGGAGGCTCAGGCCGCCCGCCGCGCTCCTCTCTCCGGGTGTTGGGCGCCCGCGTCGGGGCCGGGTGCGCGGGAGGCGGTTGGCCTGCGGCTGGCCGGGGCTCAGGCTGGGGTCGCCTGCGGGAGTTGCCCCCGGCCGGCCCCCGTCACCCTGCGGGCCCCCTCCTCCGAGGCTGGCGAGGTGCGGGTGCCGGCGCCTGGGGCTCCCTGTGCTCGAGCCCTTGCTGGCGCGGCCGCTGCGCTCCGCATCTGTTTTCCTCGCCCCTCGCCCTCACGCGGCGACGCTCGCACCTGTCGGGTTTTCCGGCCCATTTTACAGCCCGGGCGATGGGGACCCCGTGTGTAACAGGTGCTCGTGTACCGTGTGCGAGCACGGACCGCTGGGCGGCTGCAGAGGGGGGCTTGCCCCAGAGCCCTTGCGCCCCGAGTATGTCCCGTGGGCCCGTGGCTCTCAGCGCCGGGGCTGGGGGCCCGTATTCTGTTTCTCTGGGGAGACACGGCGATATCTGGAAACCTGTGTGGCGGTCACAGCTGGGGTTTGGGGAAACGGCCGCTGGCTTCGGGAATGCTGACAGACCTTTCGCGTGGCATGGGACGGCGGCCACATCACAGAAGCATCCGGCCCCACGTGGGACTGGTGCTGAGGTTTGGAAACCCTGCATTGGACAGTCAAGTCTTCCCTGAGCGCTTACTGGATCTTGGGCTACTTCTCGGTCACGACCCTGGCAGCCCCATGCGGGGAAGGAGCTGTTATCAGTCCTGGTTTCCAGGTGGAGAAATTCAGTCCACAGAGGGCAAGTCACGGGTCCAGGGCACGCACTGGATAAATGTCCGAGCTGGAAACGGAAGCAGCCTAGGCCCGCAGCCCACCTCTTAACCCTTTAGTTAACCCAGCGCGCTGTGCAGAGGTGCTGGGTGCGACCAGCATGGGCTCTGGGGTCCCACAGTTCCAGGTTTGAATCCTGCCTCTGAGTGATCCTGTTGCCTTCTGGTCGTGGTGCCCAACCTGCAGGGCTGTTGGGGTGCTTGGGTGGGGCATTGGGAGGCGGAGCCTGCTCAGCAGCTGTCTCCTGAGGCTTCCAGGGTAGCGCACAGCACTCTGGCCGGACTGCAGTGGAGGGTGAGGATTGGTTCACCTGGTGGAACGACCTTCCTTCCTGCTTCCTGGGTGATGACCCCAGGACCCAGAGAAAGGTCCAGCTGGCCCTGCTCTCCACTCACTGTGGACAGTGGCTAACCTGTGAGCCCCCTCCCCCCAAGACTGCAGGACCCTTCAGCGTGATGCCTGAGCCCTGGCTCTCTCAGGTCAGGTTCCAGTCCAATCCGGGGGGATCTGTCTCATAGCAAGCGGGTTTCTCTGTGTCTTTGGAGACTCAGCTCTGGCCTGGGTCTTCTGGGAAGCTTTCCCTGCCACCCCAGGCTCACCAGCCCTTGAATGGAGGGATGGGAGGGCGGGAGGTGATGTTGCAGACTGGCTGTGGACCAGGCAGACAGGGCTGTGAGTTTAGGCTCTGTGACTTACTAGCTGAGTGACTTTAGGCAAGATGTCTTCATCTTCTCTATTGGCAAAATGGGGGCAATAATACTAAAATCCCATAGGACTGATCATCCCATAAATTTTCTTTGAGTGCCAGCCAGCACGCTGGGTTCTATGAATGTGGTCTCTTGCTCTCCGGAAGCGTCAGTTCTTATGAAGGAAGACAGCACACAAAGAAAATCCTTGTTTTGTTAAACACTAAAGGAAATTAGTAAAGGTGACAGGATAGTAACTGCAGGGTAGGGTGTGTGGATGCTGTGTTAATCTACGGCTTGAGGAGGCTCTCTGAGTAGGGGAAATTGCATGGAGGCATCAAAAAAGAGGAGGAGCCAGCTGAGTAAAGGCGGGGGGAAGAGCAGGTACAAAGGCCCTGGGGTAGGACTAGCGTTGAGTCTGAGAATATAATCCAGGAGCTGGTGTGGCAGGAGTAGAGAGAGACAGGGGTAGAACAGTGAGAGATAAGAAAGGTAGGCAGATGGGAGACCTTCTGTAGCAAGGAAGCAGCCAGAGGGTTTTGAGTGGGGAAGTGACATAATGTGATTTGTGTTGAGGGAAAAAAAACCGCTTCTGATTCTTGTGGGGTGATTTGCATCTAGGGTGGCAGGCTCAGGAGCAGGGAGATGATGTGGGAGGGTGTGGTGGCTGGCCCAACAGTGAGATGACGTCCATGGTCAGTGCGTAATACTTAAGAGCCAGGGCTTTGGACTTGGGCTATCCCGGGGACTTTTCAGCCCAGCCACGCAGAGCCTGTGTCCCAGAGCCGAGGATTCCTGTCTCGACCTCCTTTGCTGCAAAATGTGGTTGGCCATAGAAGTTTCTCGTATCATGAGGAAAGTCGTTCAAACGCAGACTTTCTCTTGACTCTCACTAGTCAGAGCCCTTGTCTGCCTCCTGCCTTGGGTCACGAGAACTGTTCTGTAGTCCTGATCAGGAGAAGCTGCTGCAGCAACGAGGCCCCGAAACACAGTGGCTCAAGCCCAGTAGAAAAACTGGTTTCCTGACAGTGCAGGGTGTTCCGGCGTGGGTCAGTGCCGATACCCACGGGGCCACCCAGGGTCCCTTCTGTGTTGGTCTCCCACCATCCGGAGTTGGCAGACTGTTTCTGGAAGAGCCAGACAGTAGGTAGCTTTAGCCACGTGGCAGCTCTGCAGTTCTTCAGTCTGTGCCACACGCCCGCAGCTCTGTCTTCCGAGCTCAGAAGCAGCCAGGGACGGTGCCCCAGCAAGTAGGCATGGCCGTGTACCAATAAAACTTTATTTAAAAAAAAAAAGGCAGGTGCTTGGATGGCTCAGTCAGTTAAGGGTCTCCCTTTGGCTCAGGTTGTGACCCCGGGGTCCTGGGATAGAGCCCCACTTCTGGCTCCCTGCTCAGCGGAGCCTGCTTCTTCCTCCCCCTCGCTTCCTGCTTTCTCACTCGCTGCCTCTCTCGCGCGAATAAATCAATAAGAAATCTTCTAAAATTTTTGAAAAAGGAAAGAGGCAACTGGCTGGCCCACTTGGTAGAGCACGCGACTCTTGATCTTGGGGTTGTAGGTTCAAGCCCCACAACCAAAAGATAAAATCTTAAAAAAAAAAAGGAAGATGGGCTGCAGGCCTGATCTGGCCCACAGGTGGCTATTTGCTGACCCAGTCCTAGTGGTTCTCAAGTGTCGTGAACTCGGGGCCCCTTTATGTTCTTAAAAGTTATTGGAGATCCCGAACTACCTTTACTCGTAGCAGTTGTGTCTGTGGGTATGTGTCCTATTAAAGCGGAAGGCCAAAGAAATTTCAAAGTATTTACTAATGCCTATAGGAATAGAAGAAATCGACATTTCATATGTTGACATAAATAACCTTTTTTTTTTTGGATGGAAAATAACTGTGTTTTCCAAAACAAAACATTGGAAACATGGCCTTGTTTTTCTGCAAATATCTCCAATTCCTGACTTGAAAGAAGACGGCTTCTCCGTTCGGCCTGTGTGTGTGCAGCCTGTGGAAGACCCCCGCGCACCCGCAGATGGAACAGTTCTGACCTTGCAGTACCCTGGGGGTCCCTGGACCACAGGAGGACCTCTCTTCTAGCCCGGGGTCTTTCAGCCTTAGTGCTGTCGACATTCGGGGCTGGACCATTCTGTGCCACGGGGCTGCCCTGTGGGCCGTAGGTCCGCCAGCTGCCTCCCCACCGCGGGACACCCGCAGCCCCGTTCTCCTACCCCCATCCAGCAGTCAAAAGTCTCCAGACATCCCCAGCTGCTCCGGGTGGAGACGCTGCCGTGTCTGGGTCCCCTCCTTCGGGAACGGGGAAGAGGAAGTGGAGGGCACATGGCTTCCTTGGAGGGTGGGGGGATTGCGCAGAGGAGGAAGGGGAGAGTGGATGTGGGCCAAGTCCCGCAGTCCGCCACTTTTCCCGATCCCTGGACGTGACTGGGGGCCCATCCGTGTGTCGGACAGCGTGGGCGGCCGCGGGAATACCGAGTGGGCACCTCAGCAACAGACGCTGATTTCTCTCGGTTCTGGGGCTGGAGTCCAAGGTCGGGTGCAGGCAAATCCGTGTGCGTGCTGCGGGGGCAGCCTGCCTGTCTCCTCACGTGGCAGAGCACGCCAGGGGATGTCTGTTCCTCTAGCGGCACCGATCCCCTCGGATTCAGGCCCCGGCCTCATGGCTTCTCTTTGTCTCTTTCTCCGTTTTTACTGAGACGTCATTGACATAGAGCGTTGCGTTCAGTTACCATCTGGGTACGTTGTGACGCGGTCGCCATGGTGAGTGCGGTTCACATCTGTCAACTCACGTCGTCACCCTTGTCCTTGCTGTGGTGAGAACGTGTAAGCTCGCTCCCAGCAGTTCCGAGCAGACAGCGCCGTCCCGGGAGCCCCGGCTGCCACGCCGTCCGTTAGAGCCCCCGCGTCTTCTAACCAAAGCTTGTGCCAGCTTCAGCCAAACCCACCTCTAACCCAGACACCGGGGTGCCGGGTTAGAGCTCCGTGTGGGTTTGGGGGACGTGAATAAGGAAGCGGCTGGCGGGGGCTTTGGAGCGGGCATGCTGGAGCCCCTGCCGCAGGGGGCGCGGGGTCTGCGTGTCATCGGGCGAGCGGTCCCGGTGGCGAGGGTGCCGGCGAGAGCTGTGGGCTTTCTGAGCCCGGCCGTGCCGCGCTGTTCCCGGCTCTCCGTGTGTTCACTGCTCACACGAAGCCGAGGGAGGGACTGAGGGGCAGTGGGGCCTGCGGTCGCCCGCAGGGAAGGGCAGAGACAGGGCCGGAGCCCATGCCGTCCCGGGACAGGGTCCCATCTCCCCTCCTCCAGCACCTTCCTTCTCAGGCACTCACCCTCGGCCTTGGAGGGGAAACTGAGGCGCAGAGAGGCACCACCCCTTACTCCGGGTCCCTCGGCTCCCACCTGGGCGTGCTTGGGGTGCAGCCGGCGGGAGGCGGTGGCTTCCCGCGTCACCGAGCCGGGCTCTGAATGCTGACTCCCTCCCCACAGGCGCTGCTGTCCCCGCAGGACTCGCAGACCCCCATGGAGGTCCCGTCTCCCCAGCCCGTGAAGCAGGAGGGCCGGACGGCCGAGGGCCTGACCCTGGACTCGCTGTGGCACCACTTTGGCCGCTTCCACCTGGGCCCGCGCCGGGTCCCCGTGAGGCGCTGGGGCTGCTGCGCGCCTTGTGCCGAGACTGGCTGTGGCCCGAGCTGCACCCCAAGGAGCAGATGCTGGAGCTGCTGGTGCTGGAGCAGCTCCCGAGTGCGCTGCCTGCTGACGTCCAGGCCTGGGTGTGCAGCCGGCGGCCCGCCGTGGGGAGGAGGCCGTGGCCCTGCTGGAGGAGCTCCGGGTGAGCACGGGGCCGGCGGGGCGGTGGGGCGCCAGCGTCCCTCACCTGACTGGAGACTGGCCTCCCCCTTGCTGCCGGGGCACAAAGGAGAGCGGGAGGCTTTGGGGCGGGTGTGCGCGTGCAGGGGGTTCCCGAGACCGCCCTCCCTCTGACTCTCACGGCAACTTTGGGGGTCTCCGGGACCGCCCTCCAGTTGCATTCAGGGGAAGGATTCAGAGCCACCCGAAAGCCGTCTCCTCGCTCACATTGGGGTTTGTCACGGCCAAAGGGTGCGGATCGGGTCGGCGGAGGAAGGAGCTGCAGGGCCCCAGCCCAGGCCCAGAGCCTCCGGCCGCCCTCTCACAGGGGCGCATGGACAGCTTTGTGGAGAGGGGCACAGCTAGGCCTGTCCGTCTACACGGTTCCTGTGGCTCCTCTGCCACAAGGCCTGAGCGGGGCAGTGTGGACGCGACCGGTGGCCCGCAAAGCTGGAAACCCTTACTCCTGGTCTGTCGCAGGAACAGCCTGCGGACCCCTGGTTTAGAGCCGCGCTGTCCGGGGAGCAGTAGTACGTGAGCCTGTATGTAGTCCTGAACGTTCCAGTAGCGTGTAGCGTGGTAGAAAGGGTGGAAAGGAACAATGGATTTAATTATTGAACGCAGTGGTGTGCGAGGCGGCTGAGCTGGGGGCCCGGGGTGTGTGCAGCCGGGGTCCCAGGCTGGGGTCACCACCCACTCAGCCAGGCAGGGATTTCCCTCGGCCCCCGGGGATCCCAGCAGCCAAGAACAGTCCTCAGAACCACGGAGGCCCGCACGCTGCCGGTGGCCACGCCAAGTGGCCGTCAGAACGACGGCAGGTCACCTGCTGGGAGCGCCCTGTCGGCACGCAGCCGTGGTCTTGTCCATCCCTGTCTCCTTTCTGGCCCGGCTCCCTCTGATGCACTGTCTCCTGCTTCCTGGGGCCCGCCTCACCCTTCCGTTGCTCCTCTCGCGGCCACTTGTCCGGGTCATTGTTCCCCGCCGCTGCACCCGTAACCCATGGCTGCAGAGCAGCACTGCGGAGCCTGTGCCGTAGAGACAACCAGATGAGCTCTCCCGGGGTTCTGGCGGCAGGAGCCAACTCCCGCCCGGAGCCTCGGGTCTGGCTGGGACCTGGCTGCGTTCCTGCTGGCCGCCCCAGGGAGGGCTCCGTCCCTGGGCCTCGCTCAGCCTCCGCTTCCAAGGCCACGTCCTTTCCTGACCTCGACTCTTCTCGTGACGCTGGGGCTGTCCCCACACATCAGCATCCTCTGCTTGGGGAGCAGGGCCCGTTGCGTCTGCCATGGACGCAGGTGGGTGCCCGAGGAGTCGGAAACGGTGTGGAAAGTGTGTCAGAGTCTCACCGAGTCGTGGTTCCCGGGGATGCTCTGACAGCTGTTTTTTTTTTTCCCCCCTGGCTTTCTATTCCTGATCATTTCCTCCCCCATGGATCACATCACTCCACATAACAAATTTGGTTCACTGTTTTCTTCTGATTTCTAGTTAACAACATGCTAACACCACAAAGTCATCCGCAGTTTGGTGGGGAGTTTAGCCAAGGCCCATACAAAAGAGCTTTAAGAAGCCGCAGGAGAAATCTAGGTACTTCTCCTGCCTCAGCAGGTGAAGGTGAAGACGCACTTTACCTGAGTGAAAGGCCATTAAGTAACCGGGGCGCTCATACCCTTCCAGCTATTTTTCGCCTCCTAGAGAGGCAGTACATCCTTCTCCCCTCTGCTAAGAGAGCAGCCTCGGGCGGGGAGCCAGCCAGAGCGTCGCTGGACGGGGTGATGCTGTTCTGTGGGGTCACGCCACACCGTCCCTGGCCCCTGGATGCTGCTTCCCCGTTGCTGTGGGACGGACAGCTGTTTAAAGCAAAGGCGTGAAGAGCGACGGTCGCCTGGGCATCAGGCCTTTGCCCTCAGACTGTGACAGGGGGACCCAGAAAGCTGGAGTCTGGGAAATGCCTCCGGGACGAGGGTGTTTATGGGGCCGGGGTCCTCCGTGTGTGGGCAGAGCCTTCCCTGGTGCGGCCCCAGACCCGGCTGCCAGGGCCCCCAGGAGCTCCAAAGAGCCCGGCTCCCGGGCCTCCCTCAGGCGCGGAGCTCACTGTTACCGGCTGCAGGGGCCACGGCCTCAGTGGGCTGCTTTCGTTTAAGATTTTATTTAGGAAAGCGGGCGTGCAAGTGAGGGGAGGGGCAGAGGGAGAGGGAGAAGCGGGCTCCCGGCTGAGCAGGGATCCTGATGGACAGACGGACGGACAGAGGGGCGGACGAGGAGGGATTCCATCCCAGAAGCCCGGGATCGTGACCTGAGCACACGCTCAGCTGTTGAGCCAGCCAGGTGCTTGGCTTCCGTGTACTTTTAACTTTTTGGGGGTGGGGGGGGGGTCCAGTTCCCTGCGGAGTCAGGACAGGGACCTGTGCCGGCACTGCAGGGCCCCGCGGGCCGCCAGCGTGCGGTGCGTCTCCTGGGGAAACCCAAGAGGAGCTCCGTGTGCAGCTGTGGCTTCGCTCCGCGCCATGCCTTCGAGGCTGACGCGTGTGGTCGTGTGTGTCGGGGGGTGGTCCCTTTCTCGCGCCGAGTGGAATCCCGCGGTGGGGACACACCAGCTTCTCTGTCCCTCCCCCGCTCAAGGACCCAGAGGTGGTCTCCAGTGCTGGGTGGTTTTGAATGCAGCTGCCGTAAGGGCCGAGCCGTGCGTGTCCGCGTGGGCACGGGTGCTCTTTGTCCGAGTGGTGGCCGAGCGCGAGGGCTGGGTTTCGCGGAGGGTGTGTGTGGTTCTAGAAGCAGCCTCCCAGCTGCTTCCCGAGGTGGTGGTGGCACTTGGCGTGGCCGCCGGCAGCGTGCGGGCCTCCGTGGTTCTGAGGACTGTTCTTGGCTGCTGGGATCCCCAGGGGCCTAGGGAAATCCCTGCCCGGCCGAGCCGGCCTCGTGGAAATCCTTCAGTGGCGCATGTGGCAGTGACTAGAGCGTGGGTCCTCGAGCAGGGGCCGTGTCTGTCCCGTTCACGGCTGTGTCCCTGGTGCCTTCAGTTCTGTACGTGGTGGGTGCTCGGAAGGGGCTTGCCGGGGAGCGGTGAGTGACCCCCCCAGGCCGCCTCTGTTGGGTGCAGGTGGGCAGTGCGCAGTGCCAGTCGCATCTGCGGAGCGAGGGCCTGGTCCAAGCCGCAGGTGAGGGGCGACGGCCGGGGCGGGACTGAACTGGCTGTGCCCAGTCCCCCGCGTCCGGTCGCCGGCACACAATAGCCAGGGGTCCGCCCCGGCCAGCCCAGGAAACCCAAAGGAAAGCGGGCGGGCGGGGGGCGGGAGAGCCTGGGCTTCGGTCAGTCACAACAGGAAACGCCCGCTGTCCTGGGCCTCCGGGGTCAGCGCTCAGGGAGTCCTGGGGCTGCGGAGGAAGAGAGCGGGGACAGCCAGTAGGGGAGAGGCTGGCGGGGCCCGCGTGCAGGAGGGCAGGCCAGCTGCGGCCCGGAGAGTTGAAATCGGGCCACAGGGCTTGCTGAGCCCGTGCATCTTGGGCCAGAGGGTGAAGCTTCGGGAGAAAGACCCCCCACCATGGCCTGCGTGACCCTGTGGCCAGGCCTCCTGCCTTCGCTCCCCGCACCCCTGACCTGGTGGACCTGCGGGGTGGGAAGTGCAGACTTGAACCCAAGTGTCCTTGCTGCCCCAGGCGAGCAGTGCTGGCCACTGGGCAGCTCCGTGTGTGGCGCTCAGGGGTTCCCCGAGGACCCCTTGCCCTGATACCACCTGCAGGTTGGGGGCTCCCCGGGGCCAGCCTGGGTTCAGTAATTCCTGAGAAGGATTCAGGACTTGACAAGAGCTGGGGTGCTCCCGCTTCCGACTCGTTTCAGTGAAAAGACGAGAAACCCTCAGGGCTGGGTCCAGGAGAGCTGCTGTCCCGGGGGTGCCGTGGGGACAGCACTGTGCTGATGAGGGAGGCTCCCAAGCTTGGTGTCCAGGCTTTCTACTGGGGGTCAACTGTACAGCCTCAAGGCCGACGCTAGTCTCCAGCCCTCTGGAGGCTAAGAGGCCCCCAAGAAACCCGCTGTTAGCCCAGCCTGCCTGTCTCCACCCAGCCCTGAGGGGTCAGTACCGCACAGTGTTACCCTGTCTCCCGGGTGATGGCACGCGATCCAGAGAAGTCAGCAACTGGCCGGAGGTCACGGGGCTAGTTAGGGGACAGTGGGAGGAGTGGAACCTACAGGCCCTGGCTCTAGATTCTGCTTCTAAGCCTGCTGTACCCAGAGACGGAGTCCCCAGTGCCTGGTCCAGGGCCCGAGCCTCATCCCCACGGCCCTTCTGCCTGGGTGTCTTGCTCTGTGCACAGTCTAGCATCCCATGCCTGGGACCCCCAACCAGAGAGCCCCAGGCCATCCAGAGGACGTGTGCCCTAGAATCACCAGGAGAGCCTGCTGGCGGTGCGGCTGCCTGGATGGTGCCCGAGGGTGGGCCGGCGCAGCTGCAGCAGAAGCGGGCAGGGGCGGCACCTGGCCCGTGTCCTGCTCCCAGGCAGCTGTGCCGTGCTGGTCCAGGTAAGGACCTGGGGTGAGACCGAGCGCCACTTCAGCCCCTCCGCCCTGACCCCAGGGTGGGAGGTAACATGCTCAGGGTCCCACACGCAGGTCTGTGGCCGGAGGCACCTAGGGACCTAGTCAGCCTCATGCCGGACCCGACTCTACACCTCGGTACCCGCTTAACGTGACCCCGTTCTTCGGGAACCGTTTCTTCATCAGAGCAGAGGCAGACGGTTTGACCCTTACCCTTTGCGCCACCCGTCGCTCACTTGCTGGGTGCCTACTGAGAAGAGGCACCGGGAATCGCAGCCCAGCCCTCTTCCATGGTGGCGGGAATGGGCCACGCGACAGGTCTGGCAGTGCCTGTGAAGGTTAAACACCGGCCGCCCTGTGAGCCCACAGTCCCCACCGGGCATAGGAGCCCACGAACATCTGTCCCTGATGCGAGTGGCGCGGCGGCCGGGCGGCAGGCTCTGTAATGGGCAAGCCGTGGAAGTGCCCCAGGCGCCCGCTGGGGTGGAGACGCGGCGCGGTCCAGCCTCGCGCGGACGCTGCTCAGCCACACACGCCCGCTGGAGTGGCCGTCCGAGACGCGACGCGGAAGCGGGGGGGAGCCTGTGAGAAGGGGCTGTAGATGGCAAGATTCCGTTAATGCAGCTTCCAGAACAGGAAACAGCCTGCGGGTTCCCTGGGGCTGGGGCAGGGAACCTGAGCGACTGCTACTAGGTCTGCGGTTTAGTTTGCGGGAGATGAACGTATCCTAGAACCGGGGTGGTCGTACGCCGTGAATGCGCTAAGGCCACAGGATTGTATTCTCAGTGGGTGAATCTGCAGGTGAGTCACGCCTCGCGGCGGTTGTTAAAAGGACTGGCACCAGGATACACAGAAGGCAGGCGGGCCAGGCCCTCCCTCCCGGAGCCCGGCTCTGTGGGAGCCGATGGGCAGCAGAGGCATAGAAGTGCCGGCGGCGGTTCAGGTGGCTGTCGGGGCGCCTCTTGAGCGTTTCAGGACCAGCTGGTACCAGCTCCAGACAAACTTTTCAAAACTTGAAGAAGGTGTACCTCCCGGCTCCTTCTGCGGGCCGGACCAGATGCCGCGAGAAAGAGAACTGTTGGCCGGCGCCCTCAATCCCAAATAATGGCACCGCATGAAAGACCCCCCACCCCCTGCCAAGAACAAGGGTGCCTGTGTGCTTTGTGGTTCTATGTATGAAGTTTCTAGAACATGAAAACAGCTCTGCAGCGACGGGAAGCGTGCATCGGGGTTCGCTGATCCGCGCTGTGGAGAGGCGCAAGGAAACTTCCAGGGGCTGATGCGCTTGCCGTCTCGGTACTGGTGGCAGTTGTGGGAGCGTCTGCATGTTGGAACTCACAGGATCCTGTGCTTTAAATATATGCGTTCTTTTAATCTTTTGTTTTTTAAAGATTTTATTTATTTGATAGAAACACAGTGAGAGAGGGAACACAAGCAGAGGGAATGGGAGAGGGAGAAGCAGGCTTCCCACCAAGCAGGCAGCCCAGTGTGGGACTCAATCCCAGGACCCTGGGATCATGACCTGAGCCAAAGGCAGACTCTTAATGACTGAGCCATCCAGGCATCCCTAAACATATGCATTTGTAATGTGTATCCGTATAACCTCCATGTTGAATAGTGTGGTGTGACAGGTAGCAGGGTAGGGACCGTTCTTAAGTCACAGAGGCTAATAAACGTTTGTGTGGTAACAGCAGTGGGGGCTCAGTCAAGTCTTGAAGGACATGTCGGAGGTAGACAGGGAGAGGGAGTCCTCTGGGAGAGGGAGAAGAATATGTCGAAGAGTGGAGGTTTGAGAGAAACTGGCATGCTCGGGGGATCATTAGTTTTCTACTGTGGACTTCCGGGAAGGGACCTGGCCGGGGGTGGGGCTGGAGGAGGGGGTGGCAGGGCACGCTGGCCTGTGGGCCACAGCAGAAACAAGTAGCAGGTCGGCACCTTGTGGCACCATAACAGCCTGAGCCGCACGAGTGGTCAGGAATCCGCTTACAGCCTGCTGGAGCAAAGAGGTGACCACGCAAAGTATTCATCCTGCCGCCACCAGACAACGTGGGCGTTCACAAGGTCCCAGACGATGCATGTTTGGGAAAAGCTCCGGAAGCCCCCTGCAGAGTCGTCTTGCTAGCTGATAGAATTTTAGGCATCACTGACTTCCACCCTAAGTGTTGCATTTGAAAGAAGTAAATATGAGAAGGAGGTTGGGTGTGTGGAACTCAGGAGTCAGCTCTCCTTTATTGGCACCAAGATTCTGATCTGTTCTTTGGGGACAGGGGCTTAAGAACAATGACAATAGCATAAAGACACCTAGAATAGTTTGAAACATTTTCAGTAACCTTTGGTGTTCCTGCCGGCACTGTCTGCTCAGAAGTGATCTACCATTTGATCAGGGGAAAGTTCCATTCCTGAGCTTTATTTTTTCCCTGAGTTAGAGATCGCGTATGTGTTTTTTTGTGTGTAAGTCAGGAGTTTGCACTTTATCCAGAGGGCGGGAATTGTGAAGCTCAGGTAGGATTTAAAGCTGCTGTATCAGTTGTCCTTTGCTGCGTAACAAATCACCCCAAACTTAGAGGCTTGCACACAACAAGCGCTTGTTGTCTCACAGTTTCTGTGGGTCAGGAATTTGGGGCAGATCTGACTCCGGGACTCATGAGGGGGTTAGCTGGGGGCTGGAGGATCTGCTCCCCAGACGGTCCCTCACCTGGTAACCAGCAAGAGGCCTGGTGGCCGGCTTCCCCCAGAGCACGTGGTAGGGCTTCATGACTGAATGTAGTGGGGTTCGAAGGGGAGAAAAATTAGAGCCTGTCGCTGTGGTTTCTCATTTCTGAGTGTGGTATCCCTCATTTCAGGGACCAGCAGTCAGGGCACCTCAGGATGTGACAGAAGGCTCTGGGGTGAGCGCTGGAAAGGATGATGTTGGGATAATGCCCTTAGGTGAGTAGCTCACCCCTCCCCCACCCTGAGGGGGGTCCCCCTTCTGCTCATCATTCATTTTCTCAGTGAACATTCCTGGTGTCCCTGCCACGGGCCAGGCCCTGAGCTGGGCACCCGGGCTGGAGATGGGTCAGACACGCCCTCACAGAGGGCACGGCGTGGTCTGACGGGATAGCGGGTGCCTAACCACGTGTCCCAGCTGTGGGTGTGTGCCGGACGCCATGCTGCCAGCTCTCTTGCTGCCTGTGTGGCCACGTGGGACGGTCCCCCAGTACATCAGCAATTTTTTCCTCAAGAAAAGTCCACAGTTTGGGTTTTTATGACAGGCCTGATTTTCAAACGTTTTTCACATTTTTAAGCACACTGCAGTGCACCAAGCCGACACCACCTCTGGCTGGCCTGCTGGGTGCACTGCGCCCTCTGGGAGCCCGTGCCCGGCAGACTGGAAACCCGAGTCCAAGCAGCTCAAGCAGCGTGCCTGAGGCCACACAGCAAGTCAGGGCCAGAGCCGGGTTGGGGACGGTGGCTTCTGCCGCTGACAGGAGGTGTCTCTGCACCCAGGAGAGGCGGCCAGGATGCCAGGGCGTGGGAGCTGGCGGCTGGCGTGGAGGAAGTGTGTGGGTGGGAGCAGGAGCTTCACCTTTGCTGTTGCACTGGGGTCGTTTTTGTAAACTGGATCGTGAGCTGGAGCTTATCCCCCCAGAACTCCATAGAGCAGTTTAAAAACCTGGAGAAAGGAAATGTGAGGTTCATCTGTCCCCCGACTTACCCGCCCATCCGTTTCCCCAGATCCCCACTCAGACGCCACGCATCACACATCGTGTGGCCAGCCTGCCTACTCGTTCACGCCTGTCTCCCCACTGTCCCCTCTCCTCCATCCACCCCCACCCCCCCACCTGCTGTCCCTCCCTCCCTCTCTCCATTGTCCATGTTACTTCATTTTTTAAGTTTTTTTTTTTAATTTGACAGACAGAGATCACAAGTAGGCAGAGAGGCAGGCAGAGAGAGAGAGGAGGAAGCAGGCTCCCTGCTGAGCCGAGAGCCTGATGCGGGGCTCGATCCCAGGACCCTGGGATCATGACCTGAGCTGAAGGCAGAGGCTTTAACCCACTGAGCCACCCAGGCACCCCTCCATCTGTTACTTTAAACCAGGAACTTTATAGAAAAAAATTTTTTTTAAAATTTTATTTATTTGACAGAGATAGGGAAAGAGGGAAGCGGGAGAGGGAGAAGCAGACTCCCCACTGAGCAGGGAGCCGGATGCAGGGCTCCATCCCATGACCCTGGATCATGACCTGAGCTGAAGGCAGACACCTAGTGACTGAGCCACCCAGGCGCCCCAGGAATCTTTTTTAAAAAGGTTTTAGTGAAAGACAGAGCATGGGTGGGCAGGGGGAGAAGCAGACTCCCGGCTGAGCAGGTACCCCGCCCCCAATGGGGGGCTCAGTCCTAGGATCTGAGGTCATGACCCAAGGGGAAGGCGGATGCTTAAAGGACTGAGCCACCATGGCGCCCCACCGTCCATCCATCTGTTCCCCCCACCCCTGTCCACCAGTCCGTCCGTCTGCCCGCCCCCTCCCCCCCCAGCCCCTGCACCATCCACCCACTGACGCTCCTGGACACGCCGCTCATCTGCATCCCCATTAGTTCTCCTCCCGCTCAGCCGTGCCCGCGCGCCGCCTCCGTTTGTTAGGCACTGACTGCACTGTGCGGGGTCCCCGCGACCCATCAGCCCTTCTTCCGCCCCCATGGTTTCCTGGCATTAAGCTTTGCTCTGGCAGGGCCCTTCCTGACTGACACAGGCCCGACCCCCCCCCCCCCCCCCCGCCCCCTGTGCCCTGCACCACCCCGCCCTCACTCTGTGCCTTTCCCCGGCAGGAGATGCGGCCCCCGGGGTGGAGGTGCTGGCGACGGGGGACGCCCAGGCCACGTGTCCCTACAAGCAGGAGCCGGGCAGCCCTCCACTGGCTCCCGCGGCGCCGCCTGCGCCCGGCCTATCCCCCTTCCTGGCGGTGGCGGCGGCCCCGGGCACCACCTCCTGCCCCGAGTGCGGCAAGGCCGCCCTGAAGCCCGCGCACCTGCTGCGCCACCGGCAGAGCCGCTCGGCCGAGAAGCCGCACGCCTGCCCCGAGTGCGGCAAGGCCTTCTGGCGCGAGCACCTGGTGCGCCACCGCAAGACGCACTCGGGGGCGGCCGTTCGCCTGCTGGCAGTGCGGCAAGGGCTTCGGGCGCCGCGAGCACGTGCTGCGCCACCAGCGCATCCACGGCCGCGCGGCGGGCGGCGAGGGCGCGGGCGCGTGCGCGGCAGCGGGCCCCGGCGGCGGGGGCCCCTTCCCGGCCTGGCCGCTGGGGTAGCAGCCGCCGCGCCCGCCGCCGGCCCCTCCCGGCCCGCAGCCCCCTGCTCCTGCGCCGGCTCCAGTCGGAACCTTTGTTTCTTCGGCTCCTTCTGTCCCGGGCCACACGGCCCTATCCGGTTGTCACGGCCTGCCAGGCCGTCCCACTCCGTGCAGGTGCGCCCGCGAGCCCGCCGCCCCCGTCCTCTCCACCTGCCGTGCGGGGCCCAGCGGGGCCGGCCGGAGCCCAGGAGAGGAGCGCGGGGCAGGGGCCGAGCGCGGGCCCCGATCCAGAGGAGGCTGGAGGAAGGAGACGTCTTGGCCCTAGGGGACCCCTCCCCACCCGAAGGGGTGGTTCTGACAGGATGGACTGGGCTCTGCTCGTGGGCTCCTTGGGCTCGCCCCTCTCTGCAGACGGGAGGGCGCGTGATGGACAGCGATGCCCGCTCCGGGGAAGCACCGCGGAGACCACAGTTCACCAGCATCTGGAGAGTAACAAAGTTACTGATGAGAGGTGCCCACGCAGTCCCGGGTTCTGTGTAGGCGGGCCTCGCCTCCCACGCCCGTGTCCTGGCGGGACCTTGGCCACCAGTTCCTCTCCTTGAGCCTGGAGAGGAGCCTCAGAGGTGGGTTTCATCCAGCCCCCTGGGGGGCCAGGAGCAGGTGTCTTCACTGTGTCCTTAGAGCCAGAACGGTGCTCAGTGGAGGGGCTGGCTTGGCGACAGACCCACTTGGGTTCTAATCTCAGCCTGTGGCTTCTTGGCTGCTGGAGCTTTCATACCCGCTCTGGGTGTCGGTGTCCACATCTGTAAACAGCAGTGGTCCCTACGTCCACTGCCGGAGTCTTCCTTGGGGGAGGTACCCATTCGTGGGGGCCGCCAAATACCAGATCAGTAAGTCTTGGGGAACCGGTTTTGTCAAGAGAGGGATCCAGTATTCAGTGAGGATGGGGCATGAGGCTGGGGGCCGCTGGTCCGGGACCCTGCAGAGGGGAGGTCGCGGGAGTGGCTTACTGTGGAGTGCAGACCCTGGCCTGCTTCATCAGCTCCTGCAGCCCCCACCTGCCTTGTGCTCTGTTCAGCACATTCCTGGGGGTCACGCCCTGCTGTTCCGTCTTCAGGAAGGTGCTGCTGCACCTGACCCGTAAGACCCCGGCCACAGTCCAGGCCCTGGCCGCAAGGGGGTCTGGGAGGGCACGAGCTGGACCGTCAGGCGTCTGCAGCTGGAGGCTGGCTCCCCCTTCCAGCAGCCGTGAGGCAGGACAGTGCCCAGACCCTGAGGGAGGCTGGGATGGCGTGTGTCTGCCAGGGTGCCCTGGAGCAGCCCCAAGGTTGCAACACCCGCCCTGTGTGACAGGTGGGAAGGGCGGGTTGGAGGTGCCGTGGGGCAGGGAACGCAGACTTCTGGCTTGCCCTGTGTGAGCTCCCACACGCGCCCTGGTCACAACACCGTGTCCCCGCGCCCACGGCCGACAGAGGGAACTGGCTTGAGAAGCCACATCTGCTGCTGCAGGACCTCGGGGGACGGGGGGGGGTTGTCTGAGGATGGGGCTCCGTGACAACAAGACAAGGCGCTCCTGGCTGTGGGCCAGGCCCTCGGTCAGGCGCGGAAATCCTCCGTCTGGTTTATTGCCATAGTGCAGCAAGCCTGTCCCCAGCACACAGATGGGGGAAACGGAGGCATGGGAAGGGTGAGTGGCTGCGACCCCGCTGGCCCGGCACTGGCCCGTCGTGCAGGGATCACGGGGACTCCGGCTCCCGCCTCGCTCGGGGCTCCCCGCCTCTGCCACCCGAGCAAGCCCGGCTTTGGCTGGGGAGGTTCCGCCCCTTCCGACAAGCTCCCCGGAGCCTGATTTCCCCGAGGAAGCCCCTTGACGCACGCCGCCTCCGTCAGTGTGGACTGCTGCTGAGGGCGTCCCTCAGTTGGGACGCAGAGTCGTCGTGTGCCACGCTCGTGGCTCCGGTGGCGGAGCCCAGACGCAGCTGGGGAGATGCGGGCACCGGCACTCAGGTGCTCGTCCCCCCGGTGCCCGCCAGGGGGCACGTCCCGCCGGCCAGCGTTTACTCCCATGAAGGGCCGAGTCCCCCTCGGAGACGGCAGAAGGACCTCCCCAGGCCAGTAGGAAGCTTGGTGCCAGCTGGTGGGGGTGCGGAGTGCTGCTGACAGGACCCCCAGCGGCCCCCCGCCCGCCCCCAGACTCACAGGGGCCACAGGTGTCTGTCTCCGTGTTGCTTGGGTGGCAGCTGGTGGGGGCGACCTAAATGTCCATCCACAGAGAGTGGGGGAGGGGGGGTGCACCGACATTGCCCGGGAGACGCCCCGAACTCAGAAATAAGAACATCCAACGGAGCCTCCTTAGAAATCACGCAGGGCATTAAAGTCGTGTCCGAGGGTCGTCTTGTGATGAAGCTGCGTCTGGGCCACGACTGTCTGGACGTCGCCGGTTAGCTCTCTCACCAAGGTCGAGGTTAACGTGCCCAAAGCTGGATCGTGTGACCAGTTTTGGTCACTCTGATGGACGGGACAGCCCCAGGTGTTAGGGTTCACTATCCTGCGGGTCATTAGCCAATGTGGACGCAGCGGCCACGCTCTCCCACCGGCCGCCGGTCCTGGTTCTCGCACTCCTCTTCCCAGCGAGGTCCGGCCTTCTGCTGGCGGCCACGGGTGAGCTAAACAAAACAGCTCTGCACAGACCAGCAGTGATGGGGAGGCAGGGAGGGAATGGCGGCTGCGGACTCCGGACGGGAGGAGAAGCGAGCAGGTAAAAGCCGCGCCACTGTGATGAGGCCACGGACCTCAGAGTCCCCTGTGACAGGCCCCCTCCGCAGTCATGTCTCCATCCACCAGCACCGCTGACCAGGAGGTCTGAGTTGTGCTTCTGGAGGCTGGGCCTCGACTTCTCTGCTTCCTTCTTCAGCGACGAGGAGTGAGACTGTGGCCCGTTGCGGTCCCTGTGGGAACTTGCTTGTGGCCAGAGGCTCTGGGTGGCCACGTGCGGGTTTCCCTCCTGCTTCATTGATCTCTTGGGGTCCTGGCACAGCAGCTCTGTGGGGAACCCAGCAGGGGTGAGTCGGTTTCTCCCAGGGCTCCCTCCAGCTGCTGCCTCCTTGCCCTTCCCATGTCCCCAGTTAAAGGGAGTCAGCCATCAGGGGCGAACCCCAAGTCTGTACTTGCTTGTGAGGAGGGGAACCACAGGAGTGCCAGGTCACACCCCAAGGCTGCTCCCTCATCTTCGTCACCCCCTGCTTCAAACCCTCACGGCTCCCGGGGACAGCAGGAATGGCAGTGAGCTCTCCGTAAGCAAAACCAATGCAGGACGAGGGGCCCGTTCCCAGACGAGCTGGGGCCTTACCGCACGGCAGTGCCAGGGTTCCGAGAGTGATCCCGCACCGTGGAGTTGGGCACCGTGTGGGGCGCAGGTTCGAGGCCAGCACCACTTCCTTCTGCCATGTTTTCTTAGCGAGCAAGCTACAAGGCAGGCCCGCATCCCGGGGTGGGGAGAAAGCCCCCACGTCCTGCTGAGTTCGTCCCAGAGTCCCATGGCCAAGGGTTTGGATGTGGGGAGAGGTGGGGCCCCTCAGGGCAACCCCTCCTGTAAATAATCCTCCTTTACTCAGGAATCTTTAATGAACACCCCCTGTGGCCAGGCCGGTACAGAGTGGCCCTTGGAAAGAGCAGTGAACCAGAATGAGTCCCTGCCCAGCCGAGCAGACACTAACGGTCCCGGACATGTTTGGGGGCAGACAGTGGAGACTGGAGAGTCGGGAAGGTCCGAAGAAGGGCTTGGGTGAGGCCTGGGGAAGCCTGGACAGGAGAGGGAGCAGCCAGATGCCAGGCCCTGGGGCAGAGCGGGCCTGGTGCTGGGAGGAGCTGGTGCCGCTGGAGCGAGGAGGGAGGGGAAGAGGAGTCATGAACGTCTGGGCGGAAGTGAGAGGTTAGTTATATTTTCAGCATGCTGGGAAGCCCCTGGAAGGTTTGGGGCAGGCACTGCATTATCCCGTTTGTATTTTATTTTATTTTTTTTTTTTAATTTTTATTCATTTAACAGAGAGAGAGATCACAAGTAGGCAGAGAGGCAGGCAGAGAGAGAGAGGGAAGCAGGCTCCCCGCTGAGCAGAGAGCCCGACGCGGGGCTCGATCCCAGGACCCTGAGATCATGACCTGAGCCGAAGGCAGCAGCTTAACCGACTGAGCCACCCAGGCGCCCCCCGTTTGTATTTTCAGTGCAGCGTTTGGGCCGCCCTGTGGAAGACAGGTGGAGGAGGGAAGAGAATGAAAGCGGAGGCGCTGCTCAGCGTCCATAAGATGCAGGGGAGGGTGGATCCCTTCTGGGAAAAGAACAAAGTGTCTTTCGGGGCCTCACGGTGACCTTGGATCCAACCGTATTCCCTCTTGGCCAGTCATGCAAACGGGAAGATCAGTAGTACTTCCGGGCATGGCTGCATGGTGGCTAGGCAGGCACCGGAATGCAAATGCCTGGGTTTGGTTCTGGTTATTTATATCTGTGCAATCTTGGGGAAGTTACTCAACCTCTCTGAGCCTGTGTTTGTCTTTGGTTCGGTGGGGGTCATTTCTACCCCACAGGGTTATCAGGGGGACTCCCTGAGGTCAGGTGCACCGTGTTCTTCGCACATCACTAGGAGCCCAGTTAGTGCCTACGATTACTAGAAGTAGGATTATAATATCTGATGAAAGCACCTTTCCACAGTGTGTCCCTTCCCAACCTGCTTTATATGCAGTCTCAATATTTCAACAACTCCCTGAAGATACTATTTTTATTATTTTATTAAAAATCATCTCTAAAGATGAGCAAGTTGACGGCTACTTAGGAAGTGGCAAAGCTGGAATTCAACCCCAGGCACATCTGGCTCTGAAGTTCTCTGTCCATGTCCCTTTCTTGCTCGGAAGAAACAGAGCAGCCTGGGGAGTGAGAAATGCCAGGACACTGAGGCACTGGGAAGTGCTGAATTCTGGGGTGGGGAGCCAGTTAAACCCCCTGCACATGCCCCCTTCCCATCACAGATCCCAAGGGAAAGTCTCAGATTCCTCTTTTAATCTTGAGCATCAGTGGGCTTCTAGGGCAGGGGGTTCCAAATGGCATAACGGGGGCCAAAGAGGTTGCAGAAGCCAGTGAAGGAGCTGGGGGTACACACTAGGGACTGGTGAGGTCTGTGGTGAGCCAGAAAGAACACGCTCTATCAAAAGCTGCTCTTTGGCCCGGGCCGGGTGGCTGCCAGCTGGAGACTTGGACCCAGTGTTTACAGACTGACATCCCGAGAGAAGCCAGAGACCCAGATCTTTATGTGAAATTTCTGAATTCTACACATCAGAGACTCAGCCTGCAATTCTTCAAAAACACTGCAGAGGAACCAAACCAGATGGAAAAAAACAAAACCAGAAGCTGATGCACTGAAAGCATGCCCGAGGGTCTGGTCGGGGCTACCCCTTTGCCGCATGTGATCTGATTCCTCAGTTTACCAATGAAGCAGTGGAGTGTCTCTCCCACAACCGCATGGCTGGGCAGTGAGATATGAGGATGTCGGAAGGAGTCAGGGTTCTTTCGGGGGTCTGGGGTTTGGATGAAGTGGTGGACACAGGAGTGGAAAACCTGGAGGTATTGAAACAACACTGATTTTGGGGTTATGAGCAGGAAAGGGAGTGGGGTCTTAATCCTAACCCACGTTCCCAACCCCATGGGGCACCAGGGTAGCTCAGTCGGTTGGGCATCTCTCGGTTTCAGCTCAGGTCATGATTTTAGGGTTGTGCACCTGAGCCCCAAGTTAGGCTCTGCGCTCAGTGGGAAATCTGCTTCCCTTCTCCTGCCCCACCCCCTGCTCACATGTTCTCTCCCTTTCTCTCAAATAAATAGAAATAAAATCTTTTTTAAAAAAGTTTCTGGGGCACCTGGGTGGCTCAGTGGGTTAAGCCGCTGCCTTCGGCTCAGATCATGATCTCAGGGACCTGGGATCGAGCCCTGAATCGGGCTCTCTGCTCAGCAGGGAGCCTGTTTCCTCCTCTCTCTCTCTGCCTGCCTCTCTGCCTACTTGTGATCTCTCTCTGTGTCAAATAAATAAACAAAATCTTTTAAAAAAATTAAAAAGTTCCCAACCGCAAGTGATAGCATGCCTGTGTCCTTTAGAAGATTAATTGTAATCCCTTAATCCCTTAATTTTGGTCCATGAATGAACTGGTTGAGAGGCACTGAATATTCAGCACAACGGACAGAGGTGATTGCTTGAAGCTGAGCTCCAGGGAGAAGAGGTGTTTGACCCAACTCCCCCAAGCCCATTTTTACCTATGTGAAGGGATTTCTTTGGTAAGATTGAAAAGACAAACATGGGTCTCAGTTAGACCTCAGGAGAGTTTCGTGAATACCAAATTGCTGAGCGACGTTGGAGGTGAGCGTGGATTTGTAGAGCCTGCCTAGCTCAAAAGGGGTAAAATTTGAAGATGTTCACATGTATGTTTAGAAAGAAACCCTTTTCTCTGTAATAACATGTAACGATCCCCCCCTGCTACACCTCAAACCATCGTGGTAACGAGTCAATAACAAGAAAGACACATCCCACCATGACTGTGTCAAGGTTTTACCCCATCTTCTTTATCATCTTTTAGTTTATGTTATTTTATTTACCCTATTTTTTCAGTCTACTCTGTCACAGACTCTGAAGGAAGAATGCAGGAGCATTCCAGGCAGAACCAACAGCAGCTCTCTCTGTGTCCATTTTCAATTCCACTAATACTATCCATGACCCTACAAGGAAAGCAGAAGCTAGACAGATACAGCCAACCCAATAACATGAAGGAGTCCGTCCTCTCCCACACACCTTCCTGTTCACAAACAGAGGAAGCTGACACATCTTCTGCACTCCTAAAATTTTCACAACTTGATATCTACTCACATGCTTTTCCACCTTTCCCCTTCCCTGCCTTTGTTGGTCACCTCTGGTGACTCTGCCCATGAGTCAACCACGCCACCCGAGTCTGTGCCTGTGTAGGCATCGGTGGCGGCTTTTGCCTGCTGCCTTTGAAAAACCATGATGATCACTGGCCCCACACCATTCTGCCCCCCTCAGCTTTGCACAGAAACATTCTTAGGGGAGTCAGCTCCAAAACTCCCCTTCCTGATCACAGATTCCTGTCCTGTCATTTCAGCGTCTTGATCTTGTGGTATCATGAGTCCAGCCCTCACCAGCCCAGCCCCCTTTGAAAATAGGAGCATTCAATGAATCCTGGGTCAGTGATTCAGATGAGTCTTTCTCCTGCAACACCAGTGGTTTGTGCTGCCCAAAGCTCTCGGGACCCTTCCCTCCCACCCCCATTTAACTCTCTGATGAGATGGATACTCTCCGTGGTGCTGGTGGGACCACAGACTCGTGCTCTCTTGCTGAAAGACAACTTCAAAACGTGTATAACTTTTGACTGAGTTACCTTCCTTCTAGGATTTGAGACTAAAGAATGAGTGAGACATGGAGTGCCTGGGTGGTTCGGTCAGTTGAGCGTCCGACTCTTGATTTCAGCTCAGGTCATGATCGCAGGGTCGTGGGATTGAACCCCTCATCAGGTTCCCCATTCGGCATGGAGTCTGCTTGAGACTCTCTCCCTCTGCCCCTCCCCCCTGCTTGTGCACTCACTCTCTCTCTCTCTCTCAAAAATGAATTTAGAAAAGAAGGATTGATCAGCTATGTGTAGGAATATTTATGTTCTGCAATGCTCATTGCCTACTTCCTAGGATTGAATGCGTGATAGTGGGGTGGTAAGGGGTGCCAGGCAAAGACCCAGGCAGTGTGTGGTCGAAGCTTCCCCTGGTGCCCTGGGACATGTGTGACTCCAGGGCATGTTACTTCAACTCTCAGAACCTACATTTCCCCTCTAAAATGAGATCCTGTAGTACCTATTTTATAGGGCCGTTTCTCAGATTAAATGATCCATATAAAGATACCAGCACAGTCCCTGGCGTGGAGTGAAGGTCGGATGCAGAAGCTGTCCCTTTTATCATCCATTCGGCATTGCTCTGCAGACGCTTGTTCCATTCTCTGAACTCTGAGGAGGAGCATGAATCTGGTCTTAGATGCAAATATCCTCTGTGGCCCTCTGTGTCTCTGTCTGCCTTATCTGTCCATCCATCCATCCACCCCGTAGGTATCTAACTATGTAGCTATCTAGCCATAGCTCCCTTGTCTGAGTGTTCCCTAAATAGCAGGTGCTATCCTAAGGACTTTAAATATATTTTTTGAAGATTTTATGTATTTATTTGACAGAGATCACAAGTAGGCAGAGAGGCAGGCAGAGAGAGAGGGGGGAAGCAGGCTCCCTGCTGAGCAGAGAGCCCGATGCAGGGCTTGATCCCAGGACCCTGAGATCATGACCTGAGCAGAAAGCAGAGGCTTAACCCACTGAGCCACCCAGGCAACCCCTAAGGGCTTTAAATATTAAGGCACTTAATCTTCACAAAACTCTGTGAGGCAGTTACACTTAAGGCCCTGTATTGTTACTTAGCTAGATAACTTTCAATTATCTTTCATATCTATCTACCTACCTATTTTTCTATTATATCTATCAATTATCTCTATCATCTGTCAATCATCTTCCATCCATCCTTCTACCTATTATACTTATCTATCAATTATCTCTACTATCTATCATTTCCAATTCTCTCTTTTTTCTCAACTCTGACTCTCAGTTTACAGCCTCATCCTTTAGACACAAATATGTTATTAGTTGGGGGCAGGCTGAATCGTCCTCCCTCATTTCTTCAAGTACTTGGTGGAAAACACATGGGGTGGGCAAACGTTTCCTTTGGATGCTAATGGGTGTTCCCAGCGGAAGCAGAATGAGTGTGGAGAGTGCGGGCGGGGAACCCCGCTCCCTGCATTTGCTCTCTTTCAAGTGCCTGCAGCTTGTCGTCACCAAAGCCTGCATTCTGCCCCCCTTCAGATGCGAGCACGGGGACAAGCTGCCTTTGGCACCTAACCCACGCAGTGACAACTGGGGACAGAAGGGCGGAGGGAGATGTGGTCTCTCAGGAAACGGTCGGTGCAAGTTCTAGAAATCGGCTCACCTAGCCTAACTCAAGACATTTTCTGATTTCTCTTTCAATTTCTTCTCTGCCCTGTTGGCTGCTGTCTCGTTTCCACATGTTGGCGAACTCTCCAGTTCATCTAGTTCCACACGCTCGCAGTCGGGGAAGACACCGGGTTGTGCCAGACCCTGTGTTCTGCAGACCCGCTGTACCACAGCCTTGCCCCCGTCAGGACTTGTTAAGGGGACAGATGTCATGTCACGTGTTCTCACACACACACACACACACACCCTATACAAAGGGACCCAGGAGACTCCGGGAGGTGCTGGCTAACTCTGTTACCTGGAATTTGGTGATGGCGCTACGGGCGATTGCCTGAGTCCCAACTCATCCGAACACGCAGACCTTTGTCATCTGGTACACCTCCATGAAGCTGTTCTTTTAACCTCCAATGCAAGGTGGCTTAGTGACACTCTGCTTGGTAGGAGCAGATAGTTGGAAGTGCAGGAACAGGGTGAGCTTTCAGATCTATGCGACTCCATGGCTCAGGGTTACCCCGTCTTCCCATCCTGCTTTCTGTGCTTCAGTGTCAGTCCTGCATTTCGCTCCCTCTCCCGGTGGCGTGGCAGTGGCGTGGTGACAATGCATGTCTATCCAGATATACGCTTCCAGAAACTCTCTCAAAAGACTGAAGGAACTACACCTACGTCGTCTCAAAGTATCTCCCCAAAGACACCAATAATGGAGGGACAAAATTAACTTTGCTGTGTGGACATCTGGCCAACGCCCCCTTAGGCAGTAAGTTGACCCCATGGAGAGCAGGAAGACCTGATGTGCTGAATCCCTGGGATGGGACGCACGGAGGACAAGGATGGAATTTATACGCCACCACGCTGATCACTTCTGTGGCTTTCCTGCCCAATACGCGTAGCCCGCATCTGATCACGAGAAAGTCTCAGACAGACCCAGAAGGAGAAGTGTGCCACAGAGCAGCTCACTGGTCCTCTCATAAAAATGCCAAGGAAAACGTCAAGGTTGCGAAAGAGAAGGTAGAGACAATCTTCTAGTTGTAAAGGACACTGAAGAGGCATCCAGTGGGGGTGTTTCTTTTGGGTTTTTGTTTTGTTTGTTTTGTTTCGCTATAAAAGGACAATTGCTACTGGGACAGTGGGTGAAATTTTAAGGTCTGTGGTTTATGAGGATGGCCTCCATGTTACACTGGTGATAATCTTACTGTGCTCACGTTAGAGACTGCCCTCAGTTTTAGGAAGAATTTAGGGGCAAGGGGGTGTAAAGTTTGCAACTTACTCTGGAACGGTTCAGAATGTTTGTATGTATGTCTGGGCAGAGGAGAGAGGTGGGCATGGGATCAGGACGTCCAGTGCAGAAAATGTACACCTTGAGAGAATCTGAGTACTGGGGAACTATTTGGACAATTTTCCTTTAAGTGTAAAATGACTACAAGATAAAAAGTTTAAAAAGGAAGAACTTTTTTTTCCCCAGAAGCCCCAACAGATATCTTTCCTGCTCTCAATGACCAGAATAATCGGGTCTTCAGCACACTGGCTTGCACACAGCATGTTCAGGCTCTCGAAACCTATCTTTGGAAGGAGGAAGGGTGAGCTTTCTCAGTCTCCTGCCATCTCCATCGGGGCAGGAGTAGATGACTGTCCCCATAACACTGGAACACATACAAGAACTCTGGCTGAAACGTGGCGAAAACCCAGCAGACTCCTCACCGGGGGACCAAGTAAACATGGGACGGGAACTGCAGTGTGCACTAGGGAAGGGGTCTTCATGTCCACGCTCCGAACTACAAAGAGCCACGCGGGCTCAAGACAGACAACGGGCTCAGCCACAGAGATGCAAAGAAAGCGGCATTTCTTGCACACATTTGGGGGGGGGCATGTGGTGGGGTTCCCTTCGTTTACTTTTCCAGGACGGGTTAAGTAAGGAAGCGAGGGCTGGTGATGCTCTCTGCTCTGATTCTCCAGCGGTCTCCAGGTAACCATCTCTGGGCTTCCAGCCTCGTCTGCCCGTCCCTCCGTCCCTGTGAGCACCACCCGTCATCCTTCATGATCTTTCCCAGCAAAGCCATTTACACCTTCCTGTCACTTCCTGCCTCCCTTCTCCTCCAGAGGAGAAATGACGGATGCCCAGAAATGAAGGTGGGACCAAGCAAGGATCCTCGTGGTCCTGTGTCTTGCTCTCACTCGACCCCTGTCCCAGGGCTTTCGTTCTATAATTGAGATGAGACAGCTCCCTTCTGCGCGGCTGGTGGAGAGATGTGGCGATGGCACGAAGGTACAGATGAGGCCCGGGCTCTGCCTGGTAGAGATGGGGACCTCCCCCCAGCCCCCGCCCCGTGCCTGGTGAGGACCAGGACTTTTAGGAAGCAAAGTGCAGGCATACAAGCCCCTCCTTGATTCTGGGGTTCCTTCCTCTGGAAAACTGCTCATCCCTGGGGCCAAGAGGGAGAGAAACAAAGACACAGATCAATTAAAAACCAGAAACAGTGGGAGATCACACACACACAGGCTTTTGTCCACCCCACAGATCCTGACTGAGTGCCAGGCGCCGTTCCAGGCACTCTGGCGCGGTTTTGCAGCCTCGGGGCTCTGGATGTCTGGGGCTGGACCATTCTTTGGGGGCGGCGTCCCTGGCCTCCTCCCCCCGGAAGCCAGAAGCGCCCCCAAGTCGTGATGGGCCAAGATGTCTTCAGGCATGGCCACATGTGCCTGGAGGAGCAGAGCCGCTCTGGGGGAGCACCTCTGGGCTCATGAGGAGCAAGAAGCCTCGCCGCCCCTCGCTGAGCCCGTTCCCAGGGAGGGGGGAGATGCCCGGAGAGCTAGGAAACGCCCGAGCAGGTGCGTCGTGCAGGACGGAAGCAGGGGACGCAGCAAGAGCCCTGAAGGTGCGCAGAGACCCCAGCACTGCGGGGCCGGAGAGGAAGGGGCGCGGATGGAAGCGGGGTACACAGACTCAGGCTGGGTCCTGAAGAGGGGGCGCGGAAAGGCAGGAGGAAGGGCAACCCGTGCATCTCAGAGCTGAGCGCCTGCAGGGGAAACGGAGGTGAAGCAGAGAAACCTTTCCCTGGGGCAGCGTCCTCGTCCTGACCTCACAGGCCAGCTTATGAAAGCCCTTCCGTGCACAAAGCCTCATGCCCACCTCCACCCTTGGCACGCTCTCCCATCGTCCCCCTGATTGTGCACACCCTCCCTCCCTCCGTGCTTCCCTCCTCGCCTCCTTCCTCCTCGGGAGGCACAAAAGCCACAGTCAGGCTCTGGGCCCCCAGAGAGCCCCGGAGAGCAGCGGACTCCAGTGAGGTGAGAGCAGGGCCGAGTGGGGAGGGCGGCAAGGGGGAGGGGGGCACTCAGAGAATCGGGACATGCTGATGGGGAAGGCAGGGCAGGCACGGGCCGAAGGTCGGCGAGGGGCAAACACGCCTGTGAACCTTGAGCCTGCGTCCCCGGTGCTCCCGGGGTTCTGGGGGGCCGTGTTTCACCTGTGCGGTGTCCTGTCGCTTACCCGCTTCCTTCGCGGCTGTCCCTCAACCAGCGCTGTCGCGTTGCTTAGATAGACGTGTTCCGGAGTGGAGCGCCACAAAATCGGCCATGAACTCACAAGTGTCTGTTTTACTTTTCCGCCACATATTTGAGGCGGGAGGACCCACGCGTTAGTCTCTGTTCTGCGCTAGAATATGGTGCACGTTACAGTTCGTTACAGGTCGGACAGAGGAAGACGGATCCTGCGTGATCTCACTCCGGGGTGGAATCTGGAAACAGCAGCCACTCAGGGAACGAGATTGAGGGGAGGTTGAGCAGAGGCAGGGCTGGCCCGGGCACCCGGCTGTGAGATGTGGGCGTGCTGGGGACGCGAGGGACGGCCTGGTGGCCATAGGGGACGCTGCCATGTGTCTTTACAAGCTGCCTAGAAAGAGTAGATCCTACAAGCCCTCAGTGCGATGAGAAAGGAGCTTTCGTCGTAACTAGGCGAGGTGACGGATGTCACCCCGACTTACCGAGGAGACCCTTTCCCGATATCCACGGTAAGTCATCGTGCCCAGACAGTCGCAAGGAGATGTTTGCCGGTCGCGGCTATGCTTACGGCCGTGACGGCGCGGGACTCTGGGCTGCACGCGTGTGTCTGGATTCGTCCCGAGTGTGTTCACTGCTTCCCGTTCCTCTGTAGGGCAGTTACACCTAATGACATTAAAAACACAGGAACGCCCTCACCACCCTCGGTTGGCAGCGTCCCGTAGCCCCCAGCGCCCACCCTGCCGCCCTCCGCTGGCTCCCCCTGTCCGTCTGGTCCTGCATCTTGCCGTCCTGCTCAGCCTGGCGGAGACCCCCGCCTCCGTGCCCGTCCGCCAGGTGAGACCTCCGGCTTCCTCCCCACCTGCGGCGCGCCCAGTCCCTGCCCTCCTAGAAGAGCTTCCTGATGCTCCTGCCTGAGCCGGGAGCCATGGGCTGTGGGGCGCCCTGGCCCCGGGTCAGGGTGCGGGCGGGCATGGGGTGGGACACCAGACACGGGGGTCAGGATGCAAATATGCCCGAAGGACTAGATCGGCGTTGCCCACGGTGCAAGAAGATGCCTTTGGTGAGCTCCTGGTCATTCTAAGCTGTTTGGTCACCAAGGACGGGGCCGTGCCCCTAGGGTTTCTGCCAAGCCGGGCTGATGCCGCTGGCCGCAGGCCCACATTCAGGGAGCCCCGGCTGGGAGCGTGGGCTGCGGAGACCCGGCCGGATTTGGTTCCGTCACCTTGTAGCCTCCTGGCAAGTTGCCCAATTAATCTCTCTGTCCCTCTGAGTTCTTCGTAAAATCACAGCGCCACAAGGGTTAACTGAGTTCCCCCGGGCCAGGTGCGTTAGCTGGCCCGTTACCAGACCCTGAACACCCGGGCTGGGCACTCAGGCCGCCCCAGGTTTGGGTCCAGCTACCTGCCTTGGTGCCAGGGTCCTCTGCCCGCCCTGGAAGTTTCTTGGAGCTTGCCGGGACCAGAGCAGGGGCCGGGCCGTCCCCCGGCCCGGGACCTGACCCCCTGCAGGGTCGCATGCCCAGAAGGCACCCCCTCTGGGTTTTGCGGTCTACTCTTGCCGTCCTGAAAACTTTCGTCGTGTTTGAGATGAGACCTTTCATCTAAGTCCTCTTGGAAGGGGACGCTGGCACGTGGACAATGCACGGTGCATATTAGCAGCTGTGATTGTCAGGGGAGCCCAGCCACTTGCCTGAAGCCGTCCGGTGCTGTGGCTGGGTTTGCACTGTGTGTGTGTGTGTGTGTGTGTGTGTGTGTGTGTGTGTGTGTGTGTGTGAGAGAGAGAGAGAGAGAGAGAGAGAGGTCTGCAACCATGTGTAAGTGGTTTTCAAAGCTTCCTCTTCATGCCGAGCTGCTACATTTCAGGAAGACTTTGCTTTCCTCACTGGTGAAATGTGCATTAAGTGAACCCACTTGTCAGGCCCGTGGGAAAGTGGCAGCCGGCCCCGTGACCCCAGGCCCGTGGGGTGCTCACCGCCCTTCCCGCCTGCTTGAGTCTCCATCTCTCAGTCTCTGTCTAGGGACGAGGAAGCTGGACCCTCAACAGCGTGGGCTACCTGCTGGGTCCCGGTGAGTGCGTCCGCTCCCAGTGCCAATGAGCCCCCTGCGGCACAGGGGGTCAGAACAACTCCCGGTGCAGAGGGGGACCAGGTGACACTCAGTGGCCACTCCCCCCTCTTCTGGGCTCCTCTGTCCCGGGCTCCCCGTTTCCCCGAGGGCGTGTTCACTGTGCGAGGCCGAGGGACCATTAAAGCCCTACATCCCCGTGATGCTCAGGGCGGGGACCACTGATGGTCCAAGGAAACCCAGGCCCCCGGGACCACGTGGCCAAGCAACAAGGACCTGGGGTTCGTGCCCAGACGTAGGCGGGCTCGGCTTAGCAGTGGGTGATGCTGGGCGATGGATGCGAATCTCAGAGCCACAGCCTCCTCGCCGGCCGGCTCGGAAGGCTGGCGGTCCCTCAGGTCTGGCGGCGGTGCTCCGCGAGGGGAGCAGTGCGTGCGGGTTGCTGGGTTCCCTGTGTTACTGCTGCCATGTCCCAGACCACAGGCCCAGCTCTCCCCTCCCCTCCCCTGCCCAGTGCTCCACCTTCCCCAGAGGGCGGACCGCGGCGGGAAGGAGAAGCCAGCCCTGGAGGTCCTAGACCTGTGGAAGGCCCTTGGTAAGTGAGCGCGGGCTTCGTCTCCGCCTGCCACTGCTGCTCGGGGGACTTGGGGAAAGGCAATTCCCGGCCACGGGACATGTCTGAGACTCCCCCTTCTTCCCGCCCACATCTCGAGGGAAAGAATCACGGGGTGCACAGGGGTGCAGAGAGCAACCACCAGTGGGCACGCCGGGAATGCAGCCTCGGTCCCGACCCGAATCTTCCCACTGTTGCCGCCTACCAGGCCACTGAGCGTGTCCAGGGTGGTGTGTCCCCGGGCACTCACGGTGCCCATCTGTCTGCTGCGGGCCATCCCCGTGCGGGATGATTAGCCGTTCCCTGGCCTCCACCCACTAGGTGACCTTAGCATCTCGAGTTGTGGCAGCGACAGATGTCCCTGCACGTCACCAGATATCGGGGGGGGGCAGAATGACCCAGGATGAGAACCCCTAGGTGCCACCAATGCCAAGGGAACAAGGGAACTACGGCCACAGTGCGTGGTACAAAGCACCGACCCTGCCATTCGGCTTCGTTCCCAGATGGGCTCCGCCACCCCCGACCTCGGCGGGCCTCCGAGAGGAGCCTGAGGGAGGCCTCTGCCAAGCCAGAGACTGCGGGTGAGCACGGGAAACGTGGAGGACACAGGCAGGAGCCGGGGACAGGAGCGTCCTCGCCCTCGAGGGCCGACTCAACGCCCATGCTGGCCTTGACGGCTCCTTTCCGCTCTACCCCTCCGCCTCGCACCCGCCTCTGGGCCCAACACGTGCTTCCCAGCCAGTCCCAGACGTTTCCCCACAACCTGGCACTGACGTGATGACCCCACTCCCAGACCTTGACCTCCCGACTCTCAGCCCCCCGGGCTTTAGCTGCAACACCAACCACAGAGCCTCCCTCCCAGCGCCGACCTCCGTCTTTATTTGCAGCCTTGGAACTCTCTCTGGACCCCGTGCCTGTCTCGACTCACGCTCAAGCACGTTCTTCTGCTCCCGTTCTCAGTTCTGGCTTTCTTAGAACACCGGGTCCCCTTGACTCAGCTGATGCCTTAGTCTAGAATGTTCTGTTTCTAGAGCTTTGCACGGCGAGATCCTTCGCGTCATCCAGAAATCATTTAGCCGGCTCCTGCACTGCTACCCCTGACCATTTCCCTGACACCAACCTCCTGTTCCTCTGTTCTTGTCGTCCTGTCTAATTCTCGTCCTGACGTCTGTCCGCAAGTGCATCTTCTCTGCATCCTGTGCTCCGCTCGTTGTCTGTCTGCTCCGGAAAATCCAAGCTCCACGTGTTAGGGACCTTCTACGCCTGGCTCGCTGCCTACACACAAGGAATGATGCGTAGTAGGTGCCTGGAAAACGTGCTGAAGGCACAAATCGAACCATCCAAGGCGGGCTTCCCACCCAGCCGCGACCTCAGTCCGTTTCGCTCGCCTTCCTCCAGCTGCGTCTTTACCCCAATTCCCTGTCCTTGAGCTTAACCCTGTTTCTGGAAACGAACACCAGGCTTTCATTCCAGCGCCACTAACCCATCTGGAAAGCACGGACTGGACATCAGCCAGTGTTGGAGGTGACACATACCAACCTTAGCTACCCCCTGGCTCTTGAAAACGCCCATCTCCACCCCGTGCCATCTTAAATGGGGTAGAAAAGAGAAATGTGTGGGTAGATGCAAAGGAAGGGAGGGAGAGCGAGAAGCAAAGAGGGAGAGAGACCAGGAAATGGAATTGGAACTTTGGACGAACCAAAGCTGTCTTCCTCTCCGGTTTCGCTCCCAGCCTGGGCCGGTTTGGATGGTGGCGGTGAGCTTAACCATTCCAAATTCGCCTCTTTCTCTCCCACAGATCTGGGCGAGTTCAGCGAGAAAGCCCCCAGGGAGGGCGATGCCCAGCGGTCCTAGAGATCTCCAGACCTCTGCTCCGTGTCCTTCTGTCCAGCTCCTCCTGAACCCCTCCCTGTCTCGCTCCCTCCACTGAGACTAAGATCCTGAAATTAAGTCCCTGAGTCTCCTGCAGGAAATTTGGGGAGCGTTGGGAGACTTTTCTTAAAAGTTGCCAGACCGTGAGGGTTTCACTGATTTATCCTCGAATAAGTAGAAAGCATTGTTAACAAACTCAAGAATGAAATCTGGGGCCATTTAGGAGAGTCGGGGTAACGAGGGAGTATTTCTGCCGTCCGTGCGAAGTGACTGTCTTCTTTCGGAACTATAACTCGAGCGACTAATATGGTATGAATGTCCCATTTGCGTCTAAGCGTCTACGATGTCTGGCTGAGAAAGATTCTGCCAAGTAGCGGGCTTGCCTACCGTCGTTCCCCCGCCCCCGCTGGGCGTCCTCCAGTTCGAAAGGGGGAGGGGTACCCTGGAGCAGAGTGGAGAGAATAAAACATTTCTCTGCAAATGGTCCATGATTTCTTGTGTCAGCACGGGAATTGGTGGCGGCGGCCGGCGGCCAGGTCGCGGCTGAGAGCGTCAGCTGTGGGGTTTGGAGACTCTCCTGTTGGAGGTGGTGGACCTCGGATTCTCTCACGAGAAGGCCTCATGCAATTCTGGTTTCTGCCCTCTGTCCGTCTCTGGGTCCCTGACCTACTCCCTGTTCATTAGTTCATTCGTTTTCAAACTTTTACATATTTTGAAGCCTTGTTTCATCCTCATATAAGTTTATAAGTTTTGCAAATTTCTGGAGGGATTTTTTTATCATCAAGTGATGCATCCCTTGGTCTCTCTTAATGCCTTTTGTATTTGGACCGATCTAGGGGGTCACATGTCTGGTGCCTCGATGACTGTGGGTAGGAGGCTGGGGTCAGCTGGGATGGTTGACCCAGAACCTGCGTGGTAGTCAGGGCTCTGGCCTTATTATCTGGGACATTCATCACGGCCAAGCTGCTGTGACAAGGATCCCCCACCATGGAGTAGCTCAAATGAGAGACATTATCCTGTGTTCACAGAACGGTCCAGAAGGAGGCGGTGTGGGGCTGGCAGGAGGGCTCTGCCATCTTGGGCCACGAAGCTTCATCTCTGGGTCAGGAAGGGAAGCCTGACCACCTCCGTGCTGGGATTCTGACATTCCTGGATCTCCGGCCATAGGCAATCTAATCAGAAATCTCATTTTAACCCCTTAGCAACTTTATTTTTTTCTTCAAAGATTTTATTTGTTTGTCAGAGGGAGAGAGAGATCACAAGCAGGGGGAGTGGCAGGCAGAGAGAGAAGCAGGCTCCCCGCTGAGCAAGGGACCCCCCCCCCCAATCAGGACTCAATCCCAGAACCCTGGGATCATGACCTGAGCTGAAGGCAGCCACCTAACCGACTGAACCACCCAGGGGCCCTGCCATTAGCAACTTTAAATCACAGAATGGGAGGACAGTGGCAGCATCGAGCCTCAGGGACAAAAAAAAGATCCAGGCCTGCCTTTGAGGATCTCACGAAGGGAGAAACCAAACAAATGCGTTAGCAGGTGCAGGGTGGGACAAGGTTTGAGAGCAGCGGCACAGGGTCCAGCCCTCTGCAGGGCTCCTAGCCCCCATCAGTAGGGGTGAATTTCCAGCACGTGGACAGGACCAGGGATGAGGGCAAGGAGTCTCCAACCAACTTTGGGAGGACAGGGACCACTTGGGATGCTATAATCCCGGATGGTGATGAGAACCAGTCACGTTCTGGATGTAGTTCAAGGCAGAGCTGATAGGACTCCCCAGCAGACTTGCTGTGGGATTTGAGAAAGCAGTCGAGGATGAATCCCTACTTTTTGGTCTATGCAATGGAGGCAGGGGGTCGCCCTTGAAGGTTATGGGAAGCATGCAGGGGGCAGGTAGGAGTTCGATCTGAGACCCGGTGAGCTTGAGATAACTACTGGTTATGCAGCTGGGGGTGGGACGTGGAGTTGGATGTGCAGATCTGGAGCTCGGAGGAGGGGACAGACTGGGTGTATAATTTGGAGCACCGTCGGTACTTAGATGATGAGAAGAGGAGAGAAGGGGTCTAAGGGCAGAGCTCTGGAGACTCAATGGATTGCTGGTCCCAATGACGTTCAGAGACAAGGGAGAGAACAGGAAGTGAGGTGGGGTTAAAGATGGCGGAGGCACTTGGTTATTGGGGTGACAAATTCACGGGTATGGGTTCACACAGTGTGTGGCAGAGGGTTGAGAGAATGTCATGGGGCCAAGAGCACGGGGCATGGAAGTATCCCAGAACTACAGTAACAGTAATGTCAGAGGCAGGAGCTCAGCCCTCCAGGGAGGGAGGGTGAATGCCTGAAGGACATTCAGAGGAGGCTGAGGGTGAGATAATTTTCCTGGGAGAAGACATTTCAGGAGCTGGGAGGCAAGGGGGTATTGCCATAGGGGAGAGCCAGAGTCAGGCTATGCCTGGGCCTGGGGGCTGAGGTGTGGCTGGGGGTGGGGAACTAGCCTTCTTTTGGAAATGGACAAAAGCATAAGTAAAGGATATATTGAGGCCAGCCCTCGTGGCCCCAGGACAGATAATAAGTCTGAGAGCACGGAGGTGAGAGAGAAAGGATAGGGGTCCTGTCCCCGTGCTGGAAATTCGCCCCTACTGATAGGGGCTTGGAGCCCTGCAGAGGGCTGGTCCTAATGCCTTCTACGCTGCGCTCATATCACAATATATTCATACCATGAGAATCCCCATCGTTCATCTTCAATCCACATGTCCTTGTATACCCTGATGTAAACCAGAACAGCTTCCTTCCTGGAGCGCCACTGGTACCCGACGGTCCCGGATGCCGGTCACTCCCCAGAGCGACTGTGGCATCAGAGTCCCGTTGCTAGACGTCACTGCTCACTCCATCTCCCGGCTTGGGAAGGAGAGGGCTGATGCTGGAGGAGACTCTGCTCTGCCCAGGCTCTGGGCACAGCTCAGCTGCCTCCCCCCTCTGCACAGCTAGGGCCACCAAGGGCCACTCCCTGCTCTGGTCTTTGCTTTGTAGGCTGTAGGCTGTGTGCAGAGTGAGGGGGAGGCTGGACCAGAGCCCTAGAGCTGCCCCCACACCTCCCTGGCAGGGGCTGGGCAAGCGGGGTGGGTCCTTGGAAAAAGAGAGGGATTTCCTTCCAGGAGCAAATCACCCTCCACACGTGCTGACGAATGACTGAACCCTAGTGAGCGGAGACTGTTGCCCGCCCAGAGATCAGGGGAGGGACCCACGTGAGTAAGGAGAGGGGCTGTGGTCCCTCCTTAATCAAGTTTCCCTGAAGCATGTGACTCTCGATCTCAGGGTTGTGAGTTTGAGCCTCACGTTGGGCGTAGAGCTTACTTAAAAATACAATATTAAAAAATTTAATTTAAAAAAACCTTTAAATTGTGACAAATGCATGTAACATGAAATTTACCAAATTTTTTTTTAAGGTTTATTTATTTATTTTAGAGAGAGGGTGCCGGTAGAGGGAGGGTCAGAGGGAGAGGGAGAAGCAGACCTGCGCTGATTGCTGAGCCCGACTTAGGGCTCGATCCCAGGACCCTGAGGTCAGGACCTGAGCAGAGACCAAGAATCAGATGCCATAGCCAACCGAGCCACCCAGACAGACGCCCCTGAATGTACCATCGAAGCCACGTTTCAATGTCCAGTTCAGTGGCATAGAAGACAGTCACGCTATGCAACCATCCCACCAACTGGAGAGGGCTTTCCGTCTTGAAATCTGAAACTCTGCCTGTGTTAAAGGCCACTCCGCAGGACCCCACCGCAGTCCCCTTCCTGTCTTCAGCCACTACATCTGCCCCTTTGTGCCTAGATTATCTCACTTAGCATAACGTCCTCAAGCTTCTGCCCCATCCTGGGAGGTGACGGGATTCTCTTCCTTTTAAGGCTGAATAACATTCCATATCTCCTGGTGCTCAAAAAAAATATCCTGGCGAAGCCCCACCCTAACCCAAGTAATTCAGACCAAATGATCCGAGGGTGGGGCAAAGCCCTGGGGGGCTCATTTGCTCTCACCTGTTCCCCCGTGAGTGCTGGCTGAGAACCTCAGGGGTCGCAAGGGCTTCCTTTCACTCTGGTGTCCACAGGGGGCTTAAATTTGGGGCCAGATCTGAGGTTTTACTTGGTAGGATTGTACCAAAGGGGGTGCGATTTGGATTAATCTGCCACTGAGGGCACTGGGGCTGGAAAAGTTCGGTCTCTGGCTTACAGGACTTCGCCAGCTCATCCGCTAGAGTCAATACCCCTCTTCCGGCGTTCAGCCTCGGCACTGCGGACGTTTCGGTCGGGATCATTACTATGTGGGGCCTTACAGGGTGTTGAACAGTACCCTGGTCTCTACGGACAGGACGGCAGGAGCAGCCTCTCCCCAGCTGAGAGGAGCAAACACGTCTCTGCACATTGCTGAGGTGCGGCAGAATTGCCAGAACTGAGAAGCTATCCTGTCGTTCAGGATACTAACTCGTGGGGCCAAACAAGGACACAGCTAATGTATTTATTTAGTTTTTAAAGACTTTATTTATTTATTTATTTTGACAGAGAGAGATCACAAGTAGGCAGAGAGGCAGGCAGAGAGAGAGGAGGAAGCAGGCTCCCCGCTGAGCAGAGAGCCCGATGCGGGGCTCGATCCCAGGACCCTGAGATCATGGCCTGAGCCGAAGGCAGAGGCTTTAACCCACTGAGCCACCCAGGCGCCCCATGACACAGCTAATGTAAAAAGTCAACAAAGAATATAAGAGCTAGATTGTAGCTACTTTCAGAAATGGGGTGTTAGAACTGACGTCCAAGGAATAGAAATAAAAATAAACACAAATCAGCAGCATGAAATCAGAAGGTAAAAAATTTTTAAATGCAATGAATATTAGTTAAGAAAAATATGCAGGAGCTGAACGAACACGGCAGATGGGAGTACGGCAGAACGGACACAACAGGGAAATTAGGAGGAACAAAGCATCGGAGACGCTTCCAGAAGCGAGAAAGTACAAAGAGGCCAGGCCCTACTTGAGGGGAGCACGAGAAGGGGGAGGAAGAAATATTTGTAAGAAATCAGGAAGATAACTTTCCCACGTTTACAGATGAAAGAGCTCTCGGACCCGCGGTGTTCTTCAGGATGAACAGGAAAAATCTACAGCCGGTCACAAAAGAATGCATTTCAGAAAAGCCTGAAGAGAGAGAGACACCCAGACCACCTCTGCGGGAAGGCTCACATGGCTCTCCGGGGCGACACTGGGTGCGGACGACGGCGTAACAAGGACCTTCCAGGAGCTGAAGGAAAACAAGGTAAATCTATCATTTTCTATCCCGGCAAATGTTCATCCCCATGAAAAGCACATTCTCGGTCATACGAGGTCATTTACAGTCGCAGAAAAAATGAGATCTTAAGAAAGTGCAGAATCCTGGACGTGTCATCTATTTGTGAACGACCTGTCTGTCTGTCTGTCTAATCTGTGTGTCAGTACTCACGGAGCATCTGCGGGGCCAATGCTGTTGGAGCCCTGTAGGGGCAGACAGAGCGCTCCGGACGGCGGAGCGTGAGCATGGCCGAGGGGTCAGACTCCCAGAGCAGAAGCGCGCCAGGCTGCTGGGGAGGGGCTGAGGAAGGAGAGCATCCGCAGGTCAGATGCTGAAGGCCTCTGGGTGCTGAGAAAGGACAAGGCTTCTCCTCCCCGTGTTCAGCAAACCGTGGGTCGGTTCTGAAAGGGGGACTGCTGTGTAAGCCTGGGGTCCGGTCACATGGTCCAGGGCCATGGGGAACGCAGCCCTTAAGAGCAGGAGGGCAGAAAGGACCACTGCAGAAGCAGCAGCAAAGGTCCGCGTCCCGGAGAGATTAGAAGAGGCACCAGTGAGGGGGCGAGAGGTCGGGTTCTGAATCAGATTTAGTGTCGGGTCTCCCATGCGCTGATCTCAGGATGAAAGGGACGAGTCTGGGTGGGCAGAAAGCCCCCATCGTGCTTACGAGGACTCTCAGGTTTAGAGACTCCCTTGGGCTCCGAGAATCATGCAAAGCCAGGAGCCTTCCAATTCCTCTGAAATGTAACACAAAGAAGTTCACGATCTGAATGGATTGGTTATGATTTGATGGACTCTGAGAGCTTCCAAAACTGTAACCCAGACCTGCCCAACCCTGATTAAATTTCACACGGTAGCGTGCGGACCCACCGTTATAGCTTTTCAGGATTTGCGAGAGCTAATTCAGGGGGAGAAGCAGGTCCGCGGAGAAGCCTCAAAACCACCTTCCGCTCCCGGGAAGAGAAGGAAGGCAGAGCCGCGTCTGCGTGCTTCTGTCTGGTTTCTGCTGCTTTTATGAAAGGGTAAATTGATGTATATAAAATCGGTGATTTAACCCAGTTTGAGCAAAGCTTGAAGGCATTAATCCCAAGACAGTGAAAAATATAAAAGAGTTAAAAAATCACGAATATTCTTACGTATCAATAATTACTTTTCACTTTTCAATACCTTAGAATTAATATGTCAGAGCTTTCCTTGAGTAGATTTTTTTCTGAAGATTTTATTTTTTATTTTTTCAAATAATTTATTTGTCTGACAGAGAGAGAGAGAGAGCACACAAGAGGGGGAGCAGCAGGCAGAAAGGAGGGAGAAGCAGACTCTCCACTGAGCAGAGAACCCAACTTGGGGCTCGATCCCAGAACCCCTGGATCATGATCTGAGCCGAAGGCAGATGCTTAACCGACTGAGCTCCTCAGGCGTCCCTGAGCTGGATAGAACCACCGGTTTGATATCAGCCTCCCAGCTCTGTTCATGTTCTTGGCTTGACGGGTTGCTGTTGCCTTTGGCATTTAGGAAACACTCGCTCGGCCTGCGAAACAGTATGATATACTTTTCTCTACTTGAATGCAACCTCTGGCTTTCTAAACACCTACTTCCTACGCCCTGCCTCGTCAGCTCATTTTAAATAAAATCTTGACCCAAAGTGCTTAAAACTTGCTCTCTACATTCCCTGACTCCTTTGAACGCTTCAGGCATAGGATAAATAATTCAGTAGACCAGGAAAACCAATATTGTTTCCAAGTAGACTTACTTAATAAATTCCTTTTTTTAAATTAAAAGATTTTATTTATTTATTTGACAGAGATCACAACTAGGCAGAGAGGCAGGTAGAAAGAGAGGGGGAAGCAGGCTCCCCGCTGAGCAGAGACCCCGATGTGGGGCTCCATCGAAGGACCCTGAGATCATGACCTGAGCTGAAGGCAGAGGCTTAACCCACTGGGCCACCCAGGCGCCCCAATTCCTTTTTTTTTTTTTTTTCCTCTTGATGGAGTTTCAGTGGGAAATGTAATCCACACAGCCACCTTCAAGTGGTTCATTCCATGGCCTTAAACTAATCTTTGGGCTGCTGAGGTAACTGGAATTCTGGGCTTTCTCTAGCCCTATATAAGCAGCTGTGTGTTCAGCGCAGAGCTGTGGGAGAGCCAGTCCTAGCTGCGAGGAGGCTCGAGGCAGGAAGGCACAAAGACACGGGAACGAGGCAAGTCACCGGGTGGGGGTGTCCGAGGGTGCTGGGAACCTGGGACATGGATGGAGGTTGGTCCCAGGAGGATTTGGGTCTGCATCCACTACACATTTGCTCCGAGGTCTTGTGAAAGCAAGAGTTGTCCTATATATACCCCATAATTAACTCTGAATGGTTGTGGTGTGATTTGACCCCCGGTATGTGAGGTTTGTACTTTGAACCAGGGTTTTTCAGCCTCGGATGGTATTTTTGGCCAGGTGATTTTGTTGTTGTTGTTGTTTTGTTTTGGGGAGGGGAGTTGGGGCTGTCCCGTGCACTCAGGGTGTTTAGCTGTGTCCCCCCGCCGCCCGCCTCCCCCATGCCCCGGTTGCGACGACCGAAAATGCCTCCAGATGTCACCCAGTGTCCCAAGGTGCCAGAGGAGTAGGGCAAGTCACCCTTGGTTGAGAATCACGGCTCCAAATGTTGGTCACTCCACTGCGTAAAGATGTGCCAGGCATGTCCTCTCAGCATCCTCGTAGTTTACCCTCAGACAGGGTAAGAGCTGGGTTTTCTCGTCCGTGTTATGGAGAAGGATGACGGTCTTCTGAGAGCTGGCGGACTTGCCTAACAGTTAATTAAAGCTACAACATGGGATCGAATCAGCGCTGAGCTGATCGGGCTTCCCCAGGGAGCTGAAGCAGGGACAAAGGTTGACTATTACGGGTTTTAGGCAAATGTGTTCGCCTTGAATTCTGTGTGGTACATGCTTCTCCTGAGGTTTCTGAACGACCCACACCGTTGCTTAAAAACACATCGCTGGGTGTTTGCTGTCCATGGGGTAAAAATCAAACCTCTGAGTATGGACCTTTTTCTTTTATCAACCTACTAGCCCAGCCATGATTAAAGCCCCTCTCTTGGGGCGCCTGGGTGGCTCAGTGGGTTAAAGCCTCTGCCTTTGGTTCAAGTCATGATTCCAGGGTCCTGGGATCGAGCCCCGCATCGGGCTCTCTGCTCAGCGGGGAGCCTGCTTCCCCCTCTCCCTCTGCCTGCCTCTCTGCCTGCTTGTGATCTCTGTCTGTCAAATAAATAAATAAATAAAATCTTAAAAAAAAAAAAGCCCCTCTCTCTATCTGGGGACCATGTGGCTCTCAGTGCCCTGCCGAGTACCCCCAGTCTTCCACACCGTCCTCAGGTTGACCCTTGGCCTTTGAAAATTTCAAAGAGCATTGGATTTTTAATCCATTTTCTTGGATGAGATTAAGTGTTTAACCCATAGAGAGGGAGAAGAGATTAACGGATCCTCTGGGGGTGGGTGTGGCCAGGGAAGCGGGAGGGACAGAGTTTCCTTTGGGCGGGGGATGAGTGAGTTCTGGAACCAGACACAGATGAATGTTGTAAAGCATTGCAAACGTGATAGTGCCGCAAACTTGTGCGTTTTAAAAGCGTTGAAATGGTGAGTTTTGTGTTGTGTGTATCTCACGACAGTAAGGAATATTTGTTAATCCTGTTAGGGTTCTTTCGAATCCCCTTCCTGGAACAAAGCAATATCCCGGGACCAACAAGGAAATGTGTCAGGGGACAATCTTAGATTAATACTTCTGATGTTCCCACACCACATGAAATTCTCAGGTTGTAAATATTTTTCTGTATTCTGCAGAATTTCAACTAATACAGTTTTGCCTTGTAGGTTGTCCTGGTGGAAAGATAGAAAGACATCGTTAAAATTCAATTATAGGAGGGTTTTTTTTTTTAAAGATTTTATTTATTTATTTGACAGACAGAGATCACAAGTAGGCACAGCAGCAGGCAGAGAGGGCGGGGGGAAGCAGGCTCCCTGCTGAGCAGAGAGCCGGATGCGGGGCTCGATCCCAGGACCCTGAGATCATGACCTGAGCCAAAGGCTGAGGCTTAAAACACCAAGCCGCCCAGGCGCCCCTTAATTATAGGAGTTTTATATAATATATATAATATATAACGTATATAATATATAACGTATATTATATAATATATAATAATATATAACGTAGTTATATATAATTTATAGTCAAGGATGATATTGTCCCAACTTACAGATGAGAAGACTGAGCCCACCTCTGTATGTTTAGAGCTCGGAATCTAGGGGCCCTTCAGACATGTAAACCACCTTTTACTATAAATGTGAACATTGGAAAAATAATAGTGGGGTTACTTTTCATGGTATTAAATACTGTATGAGTGGGGGACGGTGTTAGTGTTGGGGTGAAGGGTTTGAGGGAAGGGGGTGGTAAGAAGTTAAACCAATCTGGTTCATTCCCCCCCACCAAGACTTCTGAACGAACAGTGCGTCTGTTGCTGAGGAAAACTGGAGTCAATCCCTTTAGGTGGCTCTTAATTAGGCACCAGCTTCTTGAAAGTCTTCAGAGTCATACGGGAAAGTTCTCCGGTCTATATGGCTACAGACCAGAACTTCTCAGGGGGTCAAGATAAACCCCAAGGCAGCCCGGAGACAGATCTGCGGCAGTCTATTCCGTCGCAAGGAGCCCACGACAGGACTCGAGGCAACAGGATGCAAGACGGCGACTGTGAGACGTGGCACCTGAGCTTCAGGGCTTTCACCGGCTCGGAGACGTCAGACCCCCTTGAGGACCTGAGGAGGCTCGGTGAGCTCTGCTACCTGTGGCTGCGGCCAGACCTTCACACCAAGGAGCAGATCCTGGATGCGCTGGTGCTGGAGCAGTTCCTGATCTCCATGCCCCCGGAGCTTCAGGTCCTAGTCAAGGAAAGTGGTGTGCGGAGCTGCAAGGACTTGAGGGACCTGCTGAGAAGCAACGAGACCCCCAAGACTTGGGTGAGCAGGGCCTTCCTGACGGGAAGGGGGACCTGGTGTGGGGGCTGCAGGTGCCCTTGGACTAGAGAGGACATGGGGGCCTTCTTGGTCAGTGGTTCCCACGGGGAAGACGGTTTGCCCCTCAGGAGACACTCGGTAGTGTCTAGAGACATTTCCGGCTGTCACGACAGGGAGGAGAGGGAGGTCACTGGCATTTGGTCGGTTTCAGGAGTCTATGAACTTTACTGTCACTCACCCTGTCCGACCTCTGATGGGGGCAGCTGCCTAAGGGGCATTCCAGGGGCTCCAGGAGGAAGGAGCCAGAAACCAGTCTAGTCCATTACGTTTGCAATTCTTGACATCGCCAGAGACCCTCTTAAAAGTGGTCCTACTTGGGTGAAGTACCTGGTGTGCTATGTTGCCACGGAAACTAGAGTCCTGGCATGACGCTGAGGAAGGAAGGGGGCTGGGACAGCAGGCCTTTGACTCCATGAGGGTCTCTCAAATCTACTAGTGATACTGGGATGGACCAACCTTGGGGCTTTCCTGGGCATCATAGTGTTAGCGCCATCCTTGATGTCAACGGCAACCACCCCCAGTTGGGAAAGTCAAAAACAAAAAATCTCTGGTGGTTGCTGGATGTCCCTCCAGCTCACAGGTAAGACTCTCCAGACCAGGTTAAGACCTTACAATGGGAACATTTTCCATCATGGTGGTTGGCGTGCACCTGTACGCTTTGTAGAAAAAACAAGGGTCCGAAGGATCTAGGAGGGGAATGGGACCCGGTGTAGCACCAGCCATGGGGAGATGAGCTCTGTAGGTAATCTTGTAAGTGGACAGGAGGGAATTAGATCAAACATGGCAGTCCTCCTTGCCCTGAGCACTCTGGGAGGTGATGAAATTCTCCAGGGGTGAGTGGAGAACGGGAATTATAAGCTTTTGACAAGGTGGTGGGAAAATAGCCATGGGAACTGGAAGATGGTCATCTGGAATGACAGATAAAGGGGATTCTTAAGACCGGCCAAGTTGAGATGTAAGCCACACGTGTGACGTCTCACCAGGGCCTGGTGTTGATTTCTCACTGTGCTCCACCTTGAGTGCCGAAGTCAGGAGTGGACAAGGCGTGCCTTAGGATGACTCGTGAGGGCTGAGTATTAGCTGAGTGGTGGTGGGACATGGGGAGGTGTTGATGTTGATTAGATATTGTGGGTAGGCCGGTGGTTGTCCAACACAAGAGGGCGGTGGGTAAGTCCCCCACCACCTTGGGAGGCTGCCTTTGAAACCAGTAATTCCAACAAAGTATGAGTGTGCGGTAGCTTTATCAAGGGAGCTCAGAGCTCCGTTCTGGTTCGAGTGAGTCTGATCTTGGTTGACTCTTGCCCCCACAGACCATAGTCACCTTACAAGGACAGGAATTTCTTGTACAAAGTTCAGATGCTCAGATGGCTGGAGCGGAGGTCAGTGACATGGACCTTGTGGCGGACTTGTCCAAGAAGCCCCCATCTTCCATGAGTGAGACACGTCCAGAGGACAGCGAGAAGGTCAGCAGAGAGCTGCAGAATCTGCCAGGAGTCGACGAGCCATCAGCTGGGCAGGTGAGTGCGAGGCCCTTCCCGATCTCGAGGGAACTGTGGCAGAAGGTACTAGAAGCCGTGGTGGGTGTAGCTGCGGAATAACTGGGACAGTGGCAGAGCACAGAAGTGCACCCATTGGCCCATGGAATCCGCATGGATGCAGCGAGCCTGTAGACATCTCTGAGCCTCTGTGGAGAAGGAAGACTCCTCAGCCTTTGTCCCTCTGCCTAAGGGAGTGGTTCTCACCTGGAGTCGTTTTGCCTCTAGAACACTTTTGCAAATGTCCCAAGACCGTTTCAGTTGTCAGAATGCAGGTGGGGTTGGAGGATGCGATTGCATCGAGTGGGCGGAACCCAGGAATGCCGCTATGATCAGTTATTCCACAATGCACAGGAGAGCCCCAAACAGGGAGTCATCCCACAAAATATCAGTGGTGATAAGCAGCGACACCTGGACCCAGAGCCACCTTGCTTCCTGAGTTGGCCAGAGGAAACCAGGTGACCTGAGGAGTGCTTAGAGAATTAAGCATAAGGGCTGTGACCTATGGACATGATTGGGTACTGATTGATGACGGGGAGTGATGAGTGGCCCAAAGGAAGTGTGGGCACATCCACAACACTGTCATGTTGAGAGAGTTGGTGTCTCAGATTAGGGCAGTGGGCAGGATAGGGAAAGTGGAGACAAGAGCTTCCCACGCCCCAAGTTAGGCACGTTGGTAACTACACCTGTTTGCCCATTGCCAGGCACAGAACGTTCTCCTACTGGAGACCATTCCTGGAAAAGGTGTACAGGACAGTCGGAGACCCAAGGGGAACCTGAAGGAGAATCTGATGGAAGATCCGGAAGAGAGAACAATACTGAAATTCCAAGAGCCTCAGCTTCTGGAAAGTCCTGGTGAGCCTGGAAACTGGGAATTCAGAGGAGTTAGTGACTATTCTTCAGCTGGGAAGTGGGGGTGGGGATCCAGCACTGACATCTCTTGGGGGAAGGGAACCCTGAAATACCAATCCTCTCCATCCCTGACTGTCCTCAGTGTCCTATGTACAACCCTATCCCAGGTCCATTGGTTGATGGGAAGTTCTCAACCCACAGCGGCCTTTGGTCCAAAGGAGGTTGTATCATAGAAAACGCTCTTTGTTAAGTGTTGTGTGTTAATCTTTCTTTCAACAGATTCCATGAAGGCAAAGGGTGGAAAGAATCTCCAAGAAGGAGCCCATATTACAGACGTGCATGCCGACAGACCCTCCGCCCACGTTTCAGAGGGACAAACTTCCCCTCGGAGTGGGAACAGAAGAGATTCTCAGAAAAGCCCAAGAAATCCCAAAAGAAGAAAACTGGACAACACCTCCATTTCCAAAGAAGTACCTCAAGGAGGGACCCCGTATTTGGACAAAGGAGAAGTCTCAGCTCAACCTGCGTCCAGCTCAGTCCATCCTGTTGGGGTAAAAGCCACGGGACAGACACCAACAGGACAGACACCAACCGTGTGCAGCATCTGTAAGAGAGGGTTTCGTTACAAATCTCAGTTTCGCGTTCACTGGAGGACACACACGGGAGAGAGGCCGTTCAGATGCGATGTCTGCGCGGGGGCGTTCACGCAGCCTTCGGACCTCCGCGTGCACCAGCGAATCCACACAGGGGAGAAGCCCTACTCCTGTGAGCTCTGCCACCAGACCTTCACCCATGACTCCACCCTTCGGAGCCACCGCCGGGTCCACACCAAGGAGAAGCCTTACGCGTGTGCGGACTGCGGGAAAGCTTTCAGCCACAAGGGGAACCTCAACGTCCACCTTCGCACCCACTCTGGGTTGAAACCCTACACGTGTCCCGAGTGCCACGGCGCCTTTCGTCAGTTGGGAACTTTCAAACGCCACCAAAAAACCCACGCGAAGTGACTTCCTGATGCTTCCGCAGACAAGGCGACCGGGTCCAAGTCCCTTCTGCCCTGAGAAGGAGGTTAAGGGTGATTTGTCCCCAATTTTGGAAAAATGACAGGACATCTCGAGCACTTACAAGGTTTCCGGAACACAGCAGCTGTCCCGTGAATGTTAATTATGAGGATCTTGGAATGATGACGTCTTCCCTATTGGTTTTCATTTTCCAAAGTCTCATCAGTCTCATCGTGTCCCATTGTCGTGAGCTTTTTGGTTTATGTTGCTATTCTCTCAATGAAGGCCAGTCTTATTTTCGACATTTCCTAATAAAATCATGGCTGCAGATTGTCTTCCTGTTATCCTTTATTTCCTTATAAGGTGGGATGGTCCAAGTCAGGTGGCCAGATTTTTTTTTTTTTTAAGATTTTATTTATTTGACAGAGACACAGCGAGAGAGGGAACACAAGCAGGGAGAGTCAGAGAGGGAGAAGCAGGCTTCCTGCTGAGCAGAGAGCCCAGTACGGGGCTCGATCGTAGGACCCCGGGATCATGACCTGAGCTGAAGGCAGACGCCCAACGACTGAGCCCCCCAGGTGCCCCGAGTGGCCAGATTAAATAGGAGATACCCAGTGAAGTTTGAATTTCAGACGGACCCGTTTTAAGTATAGACACATTCTGATTTATTTATTGTATTCCTGAGCAACTTAAAAAAAAAGACATTTTTTTAGAGCAGCTTCAGATTCACAAAACAGCAGAAGTCCAGATTTTCCCAGAGGACCCCTCCGCCCCTTCCCCACACAAACACGTCCTCCCTTACCATCGGCACCCCCAGGCCAAAAGTGATGAGGCCCTGCTGATGTCATTGTCCCCCAAGCCTAGGGTTGAGGGGTCACTCAGTGTTGCCCCTTCCCTGGGTTTAGACAGACGCAGGACGGGGACCCACCGTGAGGGTCTCGCGCTGAGCAGTTCCTCTGCCCTAAAATCCTTCGTGCTCTGCCTGTCCGAACCACTTTGTGTTCTGCACCCTGAGTCGTTGCTAAGTTGGGTGACCTGTCATTTCCCACAGGGACTCCGGAAGCGTCTGGAGCCACTGGTTAGTAGGTCGCCTTAACTGAGGGACACAGACATCGCCTGGAGGCTCTGTGAAGCTGCAGGTGAACGGCCCACGCTCCGCTCTGGGGCGGGGCCTGGGAACCTGCATTTCAAGGAACTTGAGTTTCAGAATCGTTTTCACAACCCCCTGTGTCCCACAGCATTTCCTCTATTAACCTTGTGTGTTAGGATGGCACATCTGTCTACTGGTTTATTAACGCTCAAAGGCTGGTACTTGAGTGATTTCCTTGCTTTCCCTGTAATATCCTGTGTCTCCACGCCCCCTCCCCCACCGTCAGGATCCCACTCTTTCTGCTTCCTTAAACTCAAACTCCTTGGTAGTGAGTTTCTCTGGTCTTCTTGTTTTTGACGTCCCGAGAATCTGCACTTTTAAGAAATCTCCAAGGGATATGGATGCTTCTGCTCTTGGGAAATTTTGAGAAAAGCAGATTTTGGGTCCAGTAACCTTCAGGGCTCTGAGTCTGTCCCTTCCTACATGGGGTCCATTTACAAAAGTCCCGTTTCCAGGGAGGAGGGTTTAAGGTCCTTCCCTGGGGCGGGTGCCCAGTACACAACCCAGTGTACGTGTGCAGACTCGAGTCTCCTCCAGACTTGAGGCCCTGAGCAGTCTTGGAGCAGAGTCCATGAGGCCGTTCTCCGCTTGGCAATGAAGCCTGATTTCCTTCACCAGACCTAGAAAACATCTTCCTGGGACGCCCTGCTCGTGTATCTTAATCATAGGGACGCCCGCCAGTGAGCCTCACCCAAAGGTTCTTTGCAGTCCAGTTTCCCAATCTGGCAGCAAGCTGGAGCCAACTTCAAAAAATACAAAAACAAAAACCACACAAAGAAACCCCACAAAAAACCAAAAAACCCCACCTGCGCGTGGGGGCCACACCCAGAGAGAAGGATTTGGCTGGTGTGGGGTGTGGCCCAGGCACTGGGAGCGTTACAGGTCTCCCGGGAGATCCTAGCGTGTGGAGGACGAAAAGAGGATGAACATTCCTCTGTATTCCCAGAGATCCGCTTCCCCCGGCCCCTCGGGTATCTCCATGCCTCCAGGACCCGATTGGGATTTGGGAAGGCGGGGAGTGGGTCAGGGATGAGCAACCTTTCCTAACCTCTGGGTGTGGTCCTCCACCAGCTGCGTCCACATGGCTGTGATCCGTGTTAGAAGTTAAACAGCAGGGCGCCTGGGTGGCTCACGCGGTTGGGTGACTGCCTTCAGCGCGGGTCATGATCCTGGAGTCCAGGGATCGGGATCGAACCCTGTATTGAGCTCCCTGCTCAGCGGGGTGTCTGCTTCTCCCTCTGTACCCCCCACTCCTATCTCTCTCTTAAATGTAAAAATAAAATCTTTTTAAAAAGAAATTAAATAACAATCAGGCCCAAACCTACTGAATCCGAAGGCTGGGGGTGGGCTCCTGCCCTCCTTTGAAAGAGGGATTCTAAGACATTCTAAATTCTAAGACTCTCCAGAAGCTGCCCCTTCGTCATTGGTTCTTACGCTGGGAATCGCCCGAGTACAGTTTTGTTTTGTCTGTTTTTGAAATAACTATAGGTTCACAGGAAATTGCAGAAATAGGACAGGGAGATCTCCTATATCTTCATCCAGGCATGTCAAAAAGTGCCCAAAGCCCATGTCTTTCAACATGCAGAGGGGACACGAGGTTGGAGAACGCAGGTGTGAGGACACACATGTTTTCACTTCTTCCAGGCTGTTTTCTCAGCCGCCCACTCGGGCCTTCTCCCCACACCGCGTCACTAAAACAGCTCTTGCCAGACTCTGCAGTGATTTGGGTCCGTCAGTACGCGGTCATCTTCACTCCTCTAAGTCCCACCCTGCGGCCGGAGATGGAATTAGCCATTCACACCATGGCCTCGGCCTCGAAACCCCACGTGCCCTTGGCTTCCTCTTTCCTAATTGGCTTCTCCCCTTCTCTCTCTGCCACACATCCTCCTTTTCTCCAGATTTCTGAATAGTGCATGCCTCCGTTATGGGTTAAAAAAGAAAAAGATTGTTAGCATGAAAAACAGTTTGAATTTTGTTAAGATGTAGACATTCATCATGGGGTAATTATAAAATACAGGGACAATAAAATGCTTTTAAAAAGGATACTTCCGGGGTGCCTGGGTGGCTCAGTGGGTTGGGGCCTCTGCCTTCGGCTTGGGTCATGATCCCGGGGTCCTGGGATGGAGCCCCACGTCGGGCTCTCTGCTCAGCAGGGAGCCTGCTTCCCTTCCTCTCTCTCTGCCTGCCTGTGATCTCTGTCTGTCAAATAAATAAATGAAATCTTTAAAAAAAATTAAAAAAAAATAAAAAGGATACTTCCAATATCCAGAGACATGAGTTGTTAACATGCTCGATTTCTTTCCCTTTAATAATTTTACTTGCAAGTCGCAGAATTGTACTGACACTCTCATAAATTGGTCCAGTTATGTTTCTCTTTAATTACATACTGTTAATTTATTTTGAAAAAAAAAGGAACCCCTTATCATCTCCCAGAAATGGGATATTGATAATATCCCATGACCTTCGCATCTCCGTAGACGCGTCCCTGAGAACTCGTCTCTCAGCTTCTTCACCTGGAGAAAACCAGCATCACAAATCCTAGCTCATCGTTACTTTAAAACGTAATTCTATTAAAGACGTGTGCATGCGACATAAGAATATGTTTAGTTCTGCCTTTTTTTTTTTTTTAACAGAAGAATAAGGTACAGAAGCTGGTCTTCCTGGATTTGCTTTTTGCCACTCAACTTTGTTGCTGAAATGCACCCAGGTTTTTGAGTAGGACGGTGGCTTCCGCATTTATTGTTACTGTCGTGTGTTCTTCCCAGGCATGTGCTACAATGTAGCCGTCCGCTTGGCTGCCGCGGTCCGTGTGTGTGTCACACGCGTTTCTCGGCCCCTCTACAGACCGGCCGGGGAGGCGTCATGACAGTAGGGACTGAAGCAGACGTTGTTAAACGTTGGGAGGCTGCAGTGTGAGGTCTGATGAGAGCTTATCCTGTGTCCTTGACCTTGAAGAAATACATTCCTTCCTTGGAGGGGCGGCGTGCAAGGCCTGCGGAGCGAATGCGCGTGGGGACCGGCCGCAGCGTCCCGCCGCGGGCTCCGGGCTGCAGGAACCGGCGTCTGCGTCCAGGCTGGCGCCGCCGGTGCCCCGCGCGGCTCGCCGTTCTGACAGCGGACGCTCGAGCGCGAGAGGTCGTCCTCGTTGATTTTAGGGCCGGTTCGCGTGCTTATTGCGACCACGGCCGGTAGGTGGCAGCGAAGACGGCGGGCCCGGGGGCGCTCGCCGGGGCTTCCCCGGGAGGGACTGTCCCGGTCACCCGGTCACCCGAAAGGACGTCTCCGCTCTCCGTGGGGCTCGACGGCGGAGGGAGCGGGCGGAGGCCGGCCGGGCGGGGGATGGGCTGGATGGCGCCTGCGGGGATGAGCCGGGGCGTCGTATGGGAGAGAAGGATCGCTAAATTCTCCTGACACCAGGACGACGCTGCACCTTCACTAACCGGAATTTAAATAAAAACTTGGGAAAAAATTCACCATGAAGTATTTTGTTATACAAATTATTTTTATGAAGCCCGACGTATTACACAGAGAAAAAATTGTGATTACTAATAACGATCTTCCAATTAGATTGTAACCTGTTTTATTTATTTATGCAGCTTTATGTGACCTAAATTACCGTCATTCTGCACACTTCTAATTGTAACACATTCTAGGATAAACTGCTAAGCTCTTATTTCTCCTCATGTCAGAAACAATTTTTTTAAGATTTTATTTTCTTGAGAGAGTGGGTGCGTGTGCGCTCACACAAGAGGGAGAGGGGCTGAGTGAGAAGCAGGCTCACCCCTGAGCAAGGAGCCTGATGCGGGGCTTGATCCTAGGACCTAGATCCTAGGTCCTAGATCATGACCTGAGCGGAAGGCGGAGGCTTAACCCACAGAGCCACCCAGGTGTCCCTAGCATCTGACTCTTGATTTCAGCTCAGGTCATGATCTTGGTTTTGTGGGATCAAGTCCCACATAAGGCTCCGTGCTCAGCGTGGAGTCTGCTTGTCTCTCTCCCTCTGCTCCTTCCTCGCTCGTGCTCTCACCCTCCCTCTCTCTCTCAAATAAATAAATAAACAAATCTTTAAAAACATATATATTGGGGGGGACTGGGTGGCTAAGTCGGTTAAGCAGCCAAGTCTTGATTTTGGCAAAGG